TTGCGATGCTTTCCAATAATAAAGTGATGAATCAACCAAAAAATAAATTAAAACACTCAAATAATCGTGAGGTGTTTCAAAGGGTTTTTCAGTATCACTACTCTTGTTTTTTTCTGCATTTATTGTAGAACGTCAACTTTATATAGTTTTTCTAAATTCTTCCATTTGGGGGTCGTTTCTGTTGATATTTGATCCAAATTTTTGATATTACCTTTAGATTTTACAACTAAAACTGGAATTTCAATGCCTAGATCTGTTTGTACAATAGATTGAATCTAGTTTCATCTAATGCAACAAAATTAACAATTACTTGATAAAGGAAAACATTATATGTACAGTTTTGTACAGTAAAATATCTTATTTGATACTTAGATAAATATAAACTTTAAACGCTTGACAATTTGTAAATTCCGTTCAACTGTGTAAATCATCAGTACAGCATTTTGATTATACATTGAAGTGAACACATTAGTTTGCTCTGCTTTATAAATATCAGTAAAGGAGATAATTAGAAACATTATATTTTCACCACTATTATTTTTGTCAATAGATTGCATAATTTGCGACCGTCAGCAACCATTTCTAATCAAATTCAAAACTATTCCGCATATGATGTACCTGGTCATGATAGCAATTGTTTTTATTCAACCACATTTAACAACAATATTGCTCAAGAACACCAAGTCCATCCTGAAACCGACATCAATTCCATCAAGTTAACACAATCATCACTGAACAAATCACAACACACAATCTTTGACCCTCAAATTTGACAATGACATTAGAAGGGTATCAATCAAACATCGAGGAAAACATGGTCAAAATCGCAAAACGAATCACAAAGTATGATGATACAATGTTATACGATGGTGTCCATCCAGAAACTTCACTTGCAGACAAATATTTTTAGCTGATATATGCCAATCTATCTCTAGGTATCTACAAAACTTTATGACAACAGCGACGATGAAAAGGAGGAATCTCCCGCTGTAGATACCTGGAATTTCTAAGGTATATACTCAGTACAAACATTAAATTTCATCATTTCACATGGATTATCTAAAGTATTAAAAAGGAAATCTAAAATCTTCATTTTGTACGTATAGCGATGGGAGACGTGACAGTCTCTAACCTGCTATGTCGAACATGCTAAACACATTTAAATTTAAAAAAAGATACATTCTTCATGGATTGGCATATCAGATCAAACCATTTGTTTAAACATTATGCCTAACGTTACAACTCTCATTATCATGTTTACTCTATGTTTTTTTTCAAATGGCATTTGTTTCTTTTGGATCAAAATATTTATATATTCCTCGGGTTACCGGTTTCCGCGCAATTAAGAAGCATCCGCGATTTCGTACTCATATCGGCAGAAAACTGTTCAAATTACGGAAGACTGTCATAAACATGTATACAATCTACTAAAGGTAACAAAAAACTAGCAACATAAAACTGTATTTTAAAAAAATCAGAGCAAACAAATTTTAACAAATTTCTCCCGTCGGAAGTAGCCGTCATATGTTTCCGTGCGTCTATTTTGATTTAGTGTTCAAAGAAAGATAACTCGAATACACTAAAAAGAAATTCTCTACAGTGACCTGCAAAAACAAAAGCTTCGTTTGGAACAAAAACATAATCTTTGATCGTCAAATTAATTATCAAAACACATTTTTTTAAATTTCACATTTTTAATTGATTTTTCAAGATGTCAAATTGAACGAATTCATGTAATTTTATAAATTTATATATTATATATTTATTTAGTTATAATATAGAATCTGGTTTTTTTCTGCAGTCTTATATCGGTTTTGGTTGATGGCAAGTTATTTCTCATTTTGTTCTGTTTAAAATTGGTGAAAATTGGAAGTTCATTGCATTACAAGGTTTACGTTTCATTGAAAACACTGTTTATCGATACAAGAATGTCTCCTTGGCTCTTCGGAAGTGGAAAAAAATCGGCGAGGAGATGTGGCCTCATTTGCATACGGCATTTTCGTACGTTTGTCAGACTACAAAAAAGACTGGTTCATGAATGAAATATATCACCGTTTTTTCAGGTATGGGTTCATTTTGAGCAAGATAAAAAGTGCATTAAGCAAAACTGCATATTTATGCGTGTTTTTTAATCAGTGATTAAATCTTATGTTTTCCGGACGAACTTCTGATAATTTTTGTGTCAGTTTACAGACGATGGTCAAACGTCTAAAATATCCTTGTGTTGTGTCCAGCAGGTCACGTAGTTACGAGATATAGCTTGATAAAACAGCTGCGCGGAAATACATAACGCGCGGAAACTGATGACTAGACGACTGCCTGAGCGAAGCTCTCGGGTGCCTACGGAACTCGAGCTCTTTACCGGTACCAATTAAACTGATTCCATCACTGAATCATACAGTTACAGCCTAGAAACTTTTGGTACTTCCGGTGACCTTTTACGGTTCATGGAGCCCGTAAATATGCATAATCGAATAATAAAGCGACATGTAACGTAGCAGGAAAATGATGCATTCGAACCAACGAATTTTTTAAAAAATATTGACAATATTCAATACACTGGGCGTGTTTATTTCACGATTTCTTTCCTTTTGTATCGAATAGAGAAATTATTGGCATGGTCATTAAAAAGCTTACATGAATGTCAAAAGCTAATAATGGCGTCCAAGAGTGCGTAAGTACCGTCGATTAAATTAGCTTAAATTTTGGAAAGAAATAGATAATTTGATACTGACAACTTTCTAAACATACACATTTGCCATCTTAATATTGATAATCGATCGTAACACACGAGGGTCATTCTAAATAGGACGGAAATACCCGAGTATGTACGAAGCAGGGTCAATGACGAGGTCACTTGGTTCATTGACGATGTCAAATTTCACGGGTCGTCTGCTCCAGTGAAACCACTACTCTTGGTTTTTTTCTGCATTTATTGTAGAACGTCAACTTTATATTCAGTTCTTTTAAATTATTCTATTTTGGGATCGTTTCTGTTGACATTTGATCCAAGTTTGTGATATTACCTTTAGATTTTACAACTAAAACCAGAGACATATACAGCCATAGTACTATGATATACGTCTCTGCTAAAACTTTGGAATTTCAATGCTAGATCTGCTTTTACAATAGATTGAATCTCGTTTCATCTAGTGCAACCAAATTAACAATCACTTAAAAAAGACAAACATTCTCTGTACAGTTTTGTACAGTGAAATATCTTTATCGATATTTAGATTTATAAAATATAAACTTTAAACCTTTGACAATTTGTACTTCCGTTCAACTGTGTAAATCATTACACAGCATTTTGATTATACTTTTGAAGTGAACACATTAGTTTGCTCTGCTTTATGAATATCAGTAAAGAAGAGAATTAGAAATATTGTATTTTCACCACTTTTATTTTTGTTAAAAGATTGCATAATATGCGACCGTCAGCAACCATTTCTAATCAAAATCAAAACTATTCGGCATATATGATGTACCTGGTGATGGCAATTATTTTTATTCAGCCACATTTAACAACAATATTGACTCAAGAACACCAAGTCAATCATGAAACTGACATCAATGCCATCGACACAATCATCACTAAACACAACACAACACACAATCTTTTACCCTTAAATTTGACAATGACATAATAAGGGTTTCAACCAAACATGGAAGAAAACATGGTCAAAATCGCAAAAAAAAATTCAAATCACAAAGTATGATTACACAAAGTTAAACGATGGTGTCCATCCAGAAACTTCACTTGCAAACAAATGGTTTTAGCTGATATGCCAATCTATCTCTAGGTATCTACAAAAACTTTATGACAACAGCGACGATGAAGAGGAGGAATCTCCTGCTGTAGATACCTGGAATTTTCAACGTATATAATCAGTACAAACATTAAATTTCATCATTTCACATGGATTATCTAAATGATTAAAAAGAAAAATCTAAAATCTTCAGTTCATACTTATAGTGGTGGGAGACGTGACAGTCTCTAACCTGCTGTGTCTATCATGCTAAACATATTTTAATTAAAAACAGATACATCCTTCATGGATTGGCATATCAGCTCAAATCATTTGTTTAAATTTTCTGCCTACAGCCCTGGATATCGAGGATGAGGGAAGGGGTATATACTGGTATTCTTGGATAAAACAAGAACCAAATGAGGATACTATTACTATCAATATGGCCTAGTTGTACTGTAGTACAAACCAGTCAACTTCAAACTAACATGTGATGCGTCAAGATAGTGTAGTGTGAATGTGGATTATTCTAAAACAGAGCACACATAAGTACAAGGATGAATGATTTTGCCCAGCAGCAGATTCAAGTATATTATAAAAACCGGTACATTTTGTATGTATTAAAATGGGTTATGTTATGATTCAAAAATCATACTTTACTATTGAAACAAATGTACGAGCTTCGCTCTCTCGCTCTCTCCAGGCCATGCCTGAGTCATATCATCCAAAATAAAGATGATTGAGCATGGCTTGTATTGGATAGTATTGGGTAAATCGACGGACCCCAAGGACATAGCTCACACGCTTGATACACGCTTGATACTAAATTGAGTCCGATAAACGGGAGCTGTGTAAAACTAGCTTTGCGCACGTATAGTTTCGTATTTTTCAACAGGACGTATAACATAACACCAATATAAAATATTATCAATAAGTTTAGTTGATATATTTATATATTAATTATTATATTTACGCATAAATTTTAAAAGATTGGTGTTAGGAAGCACACATTAATATATGGCTGGAATAATCCCGAGTTGTAACTTTTCCGAAAGAAATAATTTCATTATTCATTGAAATGTTTAATGGCGTTGACATAACGTCCGGGAAACGAAAGTAATTTTGTGATGGTAATTTTAAAGTAATTTTAAAGTACTGTATTTGACCAGACTCTTGAATTACAAGTGATCAAGCGTCTGGTTGAACGAGACTGTTTATAGGCCTACTTTATCAAAACTCAGAATTGACGCGGATATGGTCACCTGGCAAACAAAACAAAATGGCGTCCTCCTGGGTTCAAAGTGTGCTTGGCAAGAACATGGAGTGGTATGCAGCAGCCGGGGCTGTGGCAATATCATACGTAGCCTTCAAACTAGCGTATTCCATTTTATCAGGATTGAAATGTTTTGTTCTGGCCAAACCACTCGGACTTAGCGTGGACTTAAAGAAGACAGGGGCGTGGGCAGGTAAGACAACTCGTCCCCCTTAACCATATTTGTATTTACAATTCGTCCCAATAGTGGCAGTACTCTGTCGCTTGAACAAGGAAATTATTCGCTGTGCTACGTCGTCCAGGATTTCCGGCACAAGCAGGACAAAGCATATTGTCAGACAAGACTTACAGTAGATTTACAACGTTTCGTTTGCCCCCGAAGACCACAATAACCCAGATTCTAACTCCCTGCCACAACGAAGGGCCACATTACACTATTTGTAACAGGAAAGAGCTCTGCCTGATAAGTTCATAATCGAACTACGGTAAACCTCCGGTCGGTTCGAATCGGCGGATAGTTCGAACACGTATTTTTTTCAATAAAAACAATAATTTTCTAGCTTGTGATAGTTCAAACTCTGATTGACCTTATTTCGGATAGTCCGAACTTGTCAAATGAAAACGTAAAGTAAGATTTTTTTTCGGCAAACTCCATTGAAATCTCGCTGCGATCGGCCCCGGAAAAATGCCAATACTTTGATCAACAGACACGTTTAGGGTAATGGGTTGTATGTGTGAGCATTGCAGTACAGCTGAGACAGACAAACCATAAATATATGTCACAGATTTTAGCGTTGATTCATTTTTTTTACATTGTTTGGAAAATACATCGTGCACGAGACAGCCAATTTCAACTTAGGCCCCGACAATGTATAAATAACATGCGATCAGTACGAACTGATGTCACGCTGTATGGCTGTACGCTAAAAAATCGCCCGTGTGTTGTCAAATACAGTGTTAACTAAGCATTTTGATTATTTTATTGCGACCAGACATCCCTTAATTATTGCCAATCAAGGTATTACCTGTAAACGTGTGCCTCACACCAGGTAGGGCAGGACACGATGTCGCGGTAGGAATCGGCCGCCCAGCCATGGTGAGTGACGTGATTAGCATTCATGTCAAAGTCCAAACAATCCACAGGTGTCCCAATTAGCGATGGGTAATTTTGAAGGTGTCAAATAAAGTTTGGTCGGTATTAGGACTATATCACTTATAATTTAAAGCAGACATGTTGATGTTCTGACCTAATTTTACTAACATATAGACCTATATTTACTGTACAGTAGCGCTTTGTAAACGCAACAGGTTATGTAGACTATGTTTTCAATTTATTAAACGGACCATTCATTACGAAATAATATATACAATAGTTTCTGATTCAAATAAAACCTAACCACGCAGAGACTCAATATTTAGGTCTCTGATACAAGCTAGGTAGTCTCAACTTTTGTGTCACAAATGAAACGTGTACTGTTTCGGGGCCTACACAAGGGCCTCTGCTTCGCAATAACGATCATAATAATCACGAAATGAAGAAAGTTTAATGATCAATTAACATTGAATTAAATAATATACTATCATTTTACCCATTTATAAATGTGCCATTGTTCTATGCCAGGCCGTCGTTGTTACGTATCACCTTACATTGGATATATAGAGGTATACTCCGGTGAAGAAAATATGTCGGGTATATGTTTGTGACTTGATTTGCACTTTGCCGAAATTTTTGCCGATAGTTCGAACTCACGCTTATTTTTCTGAAGCATAATTTTGTATAATCCGAACAGGTTCATCAATATTTATTTAATTTTGTTCGAACTGACCGAAGGTTTACCGTACTCAGTAGTGAAGCGGACGTAAAACCTATCAATCAATCAAGATACATATATATGTAGTGTGCAGGGGCGGACCCAGGAATTAATTTTGGGTGTTGCCCAAAATTTTAAACTCAGAAAAAGACTCAAAAAAGCTAATAAATAATAATTGTCATGCCGGTTGTACATGTATACTACCCTATGGCACCAAACAATATATATAGAACTTCCATTATTTCTGAGATTGTGACAATTATAATTTCCCTGCCGAGCAGAGCGAGGTGATTTTTTTCTGAAGATGTAATACTAAACTTGTTCAAGCACTGCCAAGCGTAGAAAGCTAGAATTTGTTTCCATTGAATAAGGCATAGAATAGTTTTCTGAGTTTGCAGTATTATTCCAGGTTATATTTTATAACATAGATTATTTATATTTTATGATGGCCGAGCGGATCAAGTGTTAACAAATTCTCTGAAACAGAAACAATGGGAAAAATGTAGGTTTTTGATTAAAATGTTGATGTTTGTGTCATGCCTTTCATGTGCATGTAGTTTAGGCGAGCATTTTGACAATTAAATATTGATTTATTTTGTCATAAATATGAATTATGATTTGACTGTTTGTCTTTTATTGTGAATTTGTATGCATGCATATGTACAAGGGCAACACCTGTTAAAAAGGATATACATATATACATGCCAGGCTTTTATGCTAACATTGGTTATTATTCACCTGATAACGTGATGCTAAGGTGGATGCTTTAATGCCTTGAAATTTTTGAAATTTACATTTTTTAACAGGTATAATAAATCACTCCTGGTGATCATGTGTACATGAAACCACAGGTGAAAATACAGGTTTATCTATCATGAAATGGACTCTACCTTGGAAATAACAATTAACATAGTTACCTAATTCCAACAGATGGTTTTACCCTCTCTCAACGGACAGGGTGATCACACCGTGACATTAGAACAATATGATTAGTATAGGTAGACGGTCCATTGAGCCTTCATCACTGACCTGACTGGAGACCCTACTTATATATAAACAAAAGAGGAGTAATCCCCTATTGTTTAGAGTTACAGTATAAGTAGTGGACTCCTTGTTTGGGCAACTGCACCCTTAGACATATATAGATATTCAAACTGCTGCTTGCCATCGAAAATCATAGTTCACAGGATGGTAGATTTTGCGGGTTGTTCCATTTGTTTGTAAGAAGGGACGAGTCAGCCACCCCACAGCAATCCTATGGCTAATCGAATTTAACAACATTATATATATATGTATACATGTACACATACACATGAATACATATATATATACCGCCGGGGAGCGATGTACATTCTGAAGCGGTTCGCCGTTTTTAGACTGAGCAAAGCTTAATCGGTGGATATAAACCAGGATAAAAATGTATTACCACTATAAACTGTATAATACGACCCGTAAAATAGGTCCTCTCGCTCATTCGGAGCGCGGGTAAAGGAGGGAGGCCAACAGTGCCACATGGACCTATTGGTTAGGTAGGAAAAACGGCATAAACGAATAACTAAAAAACAGTATCTGTTTATCTGACTCAGTGAATAGTGTAATAACATCAGTATCCAATCACACAAGATAATAACAAATAAAAACCACGATTACGCGCTCGATTGTTATAGGATAGCTGCAGGGGGATGGGTTGGGGAGTGGTGTTGAATTGAAGTAAATAAAGTATAATTGTGTTATAACCAACCCGGTCCATACAACTAACATCTGAAAAAGCCCATACATCAATCAGCACATTTCTAACACCCAGCACCTCTTTCAAACCTCCAACCCCCCTCCCCCCCAACTCCCAACCATTCTATATCCAAATCCTAGCATTAATTCTCCCCCCTCCCCTCCCCATGTGTTTCATCTTTTCCCATACTGATAATCACATTATACACTAAAAACTAGAAATGTCGGAACGAGGAGCAGAATTAAGTGAAAGACAAGTCGAGGTATTTAAGAAAGATGACATTGGTATAAGTTCAGTCAAGTATATACTCAGTGAAGAATGATGAAGAAAGGAATTCAAGGAACGGACAACAAAAAAAACAACAACAACTCAGCACATGCATGACACTTATCACTAACAACCAGTCCGTCGGATTGGACTATAAATGGTGGCCCGTGTGAGAACTGTCCAATTTCGCACGGAAAAAATCCCTTTGGGTTTTTCGAAAAAGAGCAGGCGCGTACACGCCGACTCAGAGAATAGGAAAAATTTATTCAAAATTTTAAAGGTAGGGTCTCTTTATTAAGATATTTAGAAGGACTTCCAAATTTTATACATAAACCAAAATTCATAAACATAGGCGGGGCTGATGGGGCTGACGGCGGCACAGTACCTCACTTCCGGTCCAGAATTGGTGATGCTTCACAATGAGTGTTAGGTTAAGGCATTATTAGGCATAGGAGTCGTCTCACAAAAACTAGACAGTTAATATATATAGGATAGACGGCTCTTTATCTAATCTATCCCCCTCTTCTACACTTTACTCCATACTTTATCCCATCTACTCTTTTTCCTTTCTGTTCTTCGTCTGCTGGATAACCGATACATCCGGTAGTAAAGCGGACGTAAAACCTATCAATCAATCAATCAATCAAGCCTTCATCACTGACCTGACTGGAGACCCTACTAATATATAAACAAAAGAGGATTAATCCCCTATTGTTTAGAGTATAAGTAGTGGACTCCTTGTTTGGACAACTGCACCCTTAGGCATATATAGATATTCAAACTGCTGCTTGCCATAGAAAATCATAGTTCACAGGATGGTAGATTTTAGAAAAAAATCACATATGAAAAAGAGGTAAATCTTCAAAAACCTAAGTCCAGATTATTTTTGGACACAGAAAAAAGGTTGTTGCTCGGGCAACTAGGGCAACAAACACCCCTGGGTCTGCCACTTGTGCTTCCACAGGTGATCGAACCCAAGATCCCACACTCCTAGTCAGACGCTCTACATACTATGTATAACATTAAATCAGCTTTAAGTTGTTTTCAAAAAGGGCTATGACTGGCCTGTGCTATCTGGTTAATGTAAATACATACAAATGTGAATTCTTGCCTGTGTGCTAGAGCTCGAGGTGTATAAGTATTTTTGTTTTGCGGTAACAGCTGTGTTTCCGACTTTTATTTTCGGAGTACCCTCACTTGAATGTTATATGGAAGATATGGAACACTTCCCAGGTAGAGGAACAGTCAGATCTTTGGTATGCACCTCACTTGTCTATTTCATTGTTATGTAATTAAAATGAGAAGATAAATGTTTTGACTGGGTTTTAATTAGTACCATACATAAAACTGTTTTAGTTATAACTGGCTGTACATGTACAGTTGGTATAGGAAATGAGTATATTTTTTATTATAAACTTTTGTTTATTTTAGTTGTAACTGGCTGTACCGATGGTATAGGAAAAGCCTACACAGAGCAGGTAAAATATTCAGCCCAAGGCAGAGTGAAAGTTCAAATTTATATATGTATACATTTCCCCCTTACCAAACAGACCCCATTTCCAAAGAGATTTTCTGGTAAGTTCCATGTTAACGTTATTGAAGCAATCAAATAGGAACTTTTTAGGTAATCATCAGGGAAGGATATTTAAAGAAAGAAAAGAAAAAAACTCTGATGAAAGTTTGTCTTTTTTCAAAACCTGATGATTACACAAACAGTTCCCCACAATTCATGTTGCACAATATGTTAATAGTTCATTTAGAATATAGTTGAGTTTTGATAGAAATGAAGACGTAATTAACATTCAAAGTTGAATGTTCACAACAGGTTTCAGCTGTACAAACAGTGGTCACCGTGACAACATATAGTCCATTGTTGTATGGCATTTATTTAATATGACCGTGAAGTAGCTGCGAGAACTATAGCTTCTAGGCCTGATTTTTGTTTTCCAATAATAAAAAAATGAATAAAAAATGACACGATTGGATTGTCCGATAATAAAAAAAGGAAATTGCTATGTAATGCATTGTCTGGCAGTTTTCCTTTTAGACTGCACTGGTATAAAATCAAAAAATTTATGAGTATATTCAGGTATGCCAGAGAAAATCATCAAATTATCAGCTGCATGTGGAAACTAACTTAATGTCTGTTATTTAATCATATTCACCTGGTATATATATATCACAGAAAGCTTATGCAATGTTTGAGATCAGTTGGAATGATACAAATTGTAATTAAATATAAGATGTTCGAGTTTAGCCGACGGCAAAATTTTAAATAGTGTACCAATTAAGGGTGATAAGGTTACATCTTTCTATTCTATAACAAGGCATTAGTGATCAACATGGAAATAGCCCAGAGTCACTTTTTGACTTGCTCTATTGCATTAACAACTTAGGCCCAATTCTTTTTTGTCTGTTTAGGGTTGCATGCGCAAAAAAAACAAGGGTAGGTAGGTTGATTTTTTAACTCACTTGGTCCAAAGGACCATGGTGAGCTTATGCCATACTGCAGCGTCCATCGTCCGTCTGGCCCCCCAGGGGCATGATGGGTGCCCCAATATAGCAAATTCTTTAAAATCCTTCTTCTGTATGGAACGTCAGACCATCCTTGGGTAAAGGGGATCCAATTTTGTATAAACCGTGGGTCTGGCCCCCTAGGGGCCTGAGGGGCGGGGCCCAATAGGGGAAACATAGCAACTCTTCAAAGTTTTCAAACAACTTTTTCTCAATAACCGAAAGGCCCAGGGTACTGATATTGGGCCTGTAGGGCTACCAAGTTTGTTCAAATGAATGATCTTGACCCACTTTCAAGGTCACATGGGTCAAATGTCTTAAAATCCTCAAACAACGTATTCTTAATAACCAAAAGGCCCAGGGTACTGATTTTGGGCCTGTAGCATGCTGGGATGAAGGGCTACCAAGTTTGTTCAAATTGATTACCTTGATCCACTTTCAAGGTCACAAGGGTCAAATGTTGTAAAATCTTCAAACAACTTCTTTTGAATAACCAAAAGGCCCAGGGTACTGAAATTGAGCCTGTAGCATGCTGGGATGAAGGACTACCAAGTTTGTTCAAATGAATGACCTTGATCAACTTTCAAGGTCACATGGTTCAAATGTCTTAAACATTTTCAAACAACTTTTTCTCAATAACCAAAATGCCCAGGGTACTGATATTAGGCCTGTAGCATGCTGGGATGAAAGGCTTCCAAGTTTGTTCAAATGAATGACCTTCGCTCAGATTCAAGGTCAAAGGGATCAAATATATTTAAATCATTAAATGACTTGTTCTGAATATTCAAAAGGTCCAGGGTAATGATAATTGGCCAGAAGCATGCTGGGACAGAAGGCTATAAACTCTGTTCAACAAATGTCCTTGTTCAACTTTCAAGGTCACAGGTGCCATATGTTTAAATCATTTAATAGATTCTAATGAATTGAACACCAGTATTTTGCCTGTTGCTGTACATTAGTTCACTTTTAAGATTACAAGTGTGAGATTAATACCAGGTGAGCGATTCAGGCCAATTGGGCCTCTTGTTTCATTAATTGTTTAAACAGCTGGTATCAAATGTCAGGCATGCATTACTTATATCTTTGTAGTTGGCTCAGAAGGGGATGGACATTGTTTTAATCAGTAGAACTGAATCAAAGCTACTTACATTGGCCGGTGATATTGGTAAGTAAAATCACAAATGGAAATCAAATTGCTACTAATTAAACCTCCCCTGCTCCACCAGGATGACCGACAGGAGGTGTACTGGGGTCATGCCTTTATCTGTTTATAGATTGAAACTTTTCTAGACATCTCCGGAGTTAGTAGTTCATGATCAATCTGTTATAGCAACCCCTGGGGCTAGGAAGGCCGGGGCCCCAAAGGGAAAAATTAAGTCTGAAGCATCAGGAGGGGAGGGCAATCATTTTTTATATACATGAGGTTGGTTTGAACCCTGAGGCCAGGGGCGCGGGCCCTGAAGGGGAACTTAGCTAAAATTTTGCTTTAAAACACATCTCCTACTAAAAACCAGAGACGATTTTGACCAAATTTGCTCTGAAACTTCATTTGGGGAGGACAATCATGTCCTAAATAAATGAGACTGGTTCAACCCCTGGGGCTAGGAAGGCCAGGCCCCAAAGAGGAAAATTATCTAATATTTTGCTTTAAGACGCTAATACCCCCTAATTGCCTGAGTGGATTGTACAAAATTTGGTTGAAAACATTATTGAGTGAGAACAAACATTTCTCAATTGAATGAGGTTGATTTGACCCCTGCAGTCCTAAGAAATGGTACAGCTAGATTGTCATATTCTATGGTGTATTTTTTTTTTTTAATTGTCTTTTTCTTTTTTTTCTTCTTTTTTTTTACAAGACAAAACACATATGACATTGTTCATAAGTACATGATTGTTCATACATATTTAACAAAGGTGTCTATAAAGTTTTAAATAATTTTGTAAACTTTTTACACTCTTCCTCATCATCATTCATCAACATCATCATCATCTGTCATCATCATCACTATCACCATCATCCTGACATTATTCTTAACATCATCATCATCAGACATCATCATCATCATCATCATCATCATCATCATTGTCTTACATCCTCCTCCTCATCATCAGCCATCATTATCCTATGTCATCATTTTCATCTGATATCATAAGCAGATATTAAAAAAATGCCAATGCCATGTACATACATAAAGACATACACTGAGACACCGATGCAAAAACAATATATATAAACCTATGACATCAAACACACAAGAGCAAAACCAAATAAACTGAAACAGAAAAAAACATCAACAACAAAAACAAAAACAAAAACAAAACATTACAGGGGATGGGGGAGCAATCCTAGGTAATTTTATTTTAACTTAAGCCTGGCGAATTAAAATGTATGAAAAATTTGATGATTATTATTACAGTGAGGAGACGATAAAGTACAATAGATGTATATATGTATAGAACAAATATGTCATATTAAGTCATATTATAATTGCATCCAGTTATTTATTTGATGGTTTAACTCATCCTTATTTATTAATTTATTCTGTTTAGATACAAGGATCTTTTGTGCTTTTAATTCAAAGTTTTTTGAGACTAGTCAGATTAAGGTCTATTTCTAGGCATTTAGTTTTATATATGTATTGTTTTATAAGTAGTATTATGATGTTTTCTATATAAAACTTTGTATGGTTATATGTGTGTTTACCAAAAATGAATTCTTGTTTATCAAATCTTAGTGTAAGGTTTTTAGTTAAAATATTTGTTTTCAGCTCGTCAATGAATAAGCCTATCAACTGTTTCGCAATCCCATAGCATATGAACTATTGTTTCAGGGTTAATTTTACAGAAAGTGCAAAGGTTATTGTGTGATTTGCCAATTTTGAATAAAAATGTGTTTGTAATGAGGATTCTGTGGTTTATTCTGTACTGTAGCCACTGTAGTTTGGAGTTGGTGGTGGTTTTAAAAGGACATTCGAATATTTTTTTCCATGTTTCTTCATCTATATTATCATTTAAGATCCATTTTCTTTTGAGCAGTAGATTTAACATTATTTTTTATTAATATTAAATATATGTCTTGTGCTCCTTTACTATTTCTAAGTATTAACTTAAAGATTTTTCTGAAGTAAAAATGTGATGATTTTATCTTATAAAATGATGCACAGCATTCTTTAGGCCTTGGTATGTCAAAAGATTAATAATTATGTTATATTTTTCTTGAAATTCTTCACAGTGGTAGAGTGATCCATCCTGGTTAATAACGTTATATACAAATTGAACTCCCTTTTTAATTAAACCATGAATTTTTTAATGTCAATTTTCTGTCAATTTTAATTTCACTATTGAACCACAGGGATTTCACGTATATTGGTATTGTATATACATATTGCTAGAGATAATAGTATTGTACCATGCTTCTAAGACATCTTTCCAAAAGAGGTTACTACATCATTTTGATTCTTCTTTCAATTTTTCAAGCCCACAGTTAGCTAATGTTTCTTTATCAAAATAAGTTTCTAAGATAAGAGCCCAATTTCCTTCTTCTTTATATACCCGTCTTTAATCCATGTTGCTTTAAGAGCTGTTATAAAAGATTTTAAATGTATCATTTTCAGACCACCTTCTTCATAACTTTTAATTATCACATCTCTCTTTATTTTATCTGGTTTACCATTCCACAAAAATTCATACAGTATACTATTAATTTTTCTTATATATGTTTCATCAGGATTTGGTAGTGCTATACCCGTAAATTTGCGGGTATAATAAATGAGCACTCGGGTATAGTGCGCAGGTACGTTTTTGGGGTCAGATTTGAAAATAAAAATGAAAATAAAATGATTTTTATTTTTTTGAACAAAATCCTAAAAATAAACGGTATCAAACTGGAAAAGTAGCATCAAAGGTAGCTTGGTGTTTATAACACTGATTAATTAACGATTGATTGGAGTCAACAAGCCCTCCGTACCGCTTGGTGGACGAATCCTGCACAAAACAAACGAAGAAAGTGTAGCTAATTCCGATGCCAGAGAATCGCCGATCAACCTATGTTCGACATCTCAGCGGTTTTCTCATAATTACGAAAATGTAGTGTTTCAATTATAGGCTCCGTTCTATGTTAGTTCTGGTTTGTTTGTTTACCAAATCGCTAGGCCTAGTGTGCATTTTTTTCCCGGCTCACTTTCATGTTGACGTGATCGATAACCTCGTTAATTATTTAAATATAATGAAGCATCATAAAAATAGTGTATTCTCCTTTTATTTATTTCTTCGAGTAAATTTGAAGGGGATGTGTTGAATGTCCACGCTTCTAGTATATACATAATTTTTATAATCCCTTTACGGTCAAATCAGTCTGTAGTTCTAACAGTGCAGTGGGACTTCACGCCACGGCACATGTTGAGAAGTGTCGATAATTTTCGCTGAAGCATGGCTGAAACCAAGCCTATTGTTCGGGATCAGGCGGTATGCCCTCCGGTCAACTTACACTGTACCTGTAAAAATGTTACGTGACCAGCTAGTGTTTGTCGCCAAATCAGCAGTCATGACCACAGATTACCGATTTTAATCATTTAATTAAAGAAGGTGAAAATTGTGTTGCCAAAAAATTTCATTCTTTGTTGTTATTTTAATCTTCAATCTTATCATATATGACCGACGACTCAAAATAAAACTATTTGAAGGGAGGTAATTATAATCCAATATGGCGGACCAGAAACTCGAGAACGATAACCCAAGAATGACTTGTTCCTGCGTATAGTGCGCACCCCCTTTTTGACATGACAATATTTACCCAAAAAAGTGTGCACTATACGCGCAAATTTACAGTAAATAAATGGTTAAACTGTGATATAAGTATGTTTTAATAACCAATATTTTACCTATTGGTGTAAGTACTAGTCTATTCCATGATGCTATAAGAGATTTTAGTTTTGTATTTTTTTTTATCAAAATTCAGTTTTGTAATTCTGTGTAAGTCTACATCATAGTCTATCCCTAGCAAATTGAACGTTGTACTTTCCCATTGTAAATTACAATCTGTTGTGTAAGTGTTTCCACTATGGTGTAGTTTTCATAAATTGTTAAAAAATGGTTTCTAGGTTTATAAAAGTTATAGTTGAATGAAAATTTAAGTATTGTCTAATTAAACCCTGTAATAAGACATATTACTTATTTCAAAATCTGTTAACATGGCAACTCAATGGAGGCCCCTGATTAGTTGAAAGTCAGATATTGTGGTCCAAGTTGGGTTAGAACATAGATCTTGTCTGGTTTTGAGGAAATTTCATATAAAGATGTACTTAAAATGCGTTCATTTGTAATGACTTACATATAAAACCAGGTGAGCGATACAGGTCCAATGGACCTCTTGTTTGAATTGCCTTGACCAACTTTCAAGGTCACATTTAGTCAAATATGTATGAACATTTAAATGACCTAATCTCAATAAACAAAAAGTCTAGGGTGGTGATATTTTGTAAGTTGCATGCTGAGATGAAGGGCTATAACGTTTGTCCAACATAATGACCTTGTTCGACTTTCAAGGTCTCAGGGGTTAAATGTTTTAAAATATTTTAACAGGTTCTGTACTGTCTTATAGTCATAAATACTGATATTTTGACAGTAGCTTTATTTTAGATCACTTTTAAGGTTAAAAGTGTTAGATTAATACCAGGTGAGCGATGCAGGCCCATTGGGCCTCTTGTTAAAAATCTTGTCACAAGTCGACTACATGCATGTACTCCTTAACTTACAACATGTACCAGACCAACTTTACATTCATTGTCATGTATCTTTGCCAATGTTGACTCGAACTGTTTAAACTTTATTTCAGCAACCGTAATATCGTGTAATTTGAACTGGATTCACAGTACATTATGTCTATATTTAATTTTGTTTGATGTGACTGGAGGTTTACCATAAACCTTGTACAAATGAGCAATATCTGTTGTAGTTCTGCATCAGCATAAAATAGTTTCCAGCATAAAATAGTTTCCATGTAATCGTTTTGTTCAGGGAGGGTACACTTACATATGAATAAGCAGAGGATGTTTGAATTATCCTTTGACTTACTTAGTTCTAGTTAGTTTTAAAATAAATCTTATGTTTTATTTATTTGTTAGAATCCAGGTTCGGAGTGAAGACTAAGATTATAGTGGCCGACTTCTCCCAGGGAGCGACCATCTATCCAGGCATTCGTAAAGGACTAGAGGGAATAGACATCGGAGTGCTGAGTTAGTTTCCATTTCTCTGGTTTTAGACTTGAAGTAAAATTTTGAATAAACACATATTTATCATTAAACATATTTATTTGAAGATTGATTATTTGTTTATGCATAACAAAAATCTAAAAAGACAAAATTAGTGAAGACTGTACACTTTTCTACATAAATATATATAAAATGCCAGAGTTATCTAGTGTTTCCCATACCTGTATGTTTTACCTTTATCTCTTGTATATTTTCTTGGATGTCCTCCCTCTGTTAATATTCTTCTTTGTTTTATATTTATTTCCAGTTAACAATGTGGGCCTTGGTTATGAGTTCCCTGCATACCTACACGAGGTTCCCGACAGAGACCAGGTAAAGTGTCATTTAATGCTGAAGTTCTACTTTATATATTTATAACTCTGGTTAGGTGTGAACTAACCTCTAACCTACAGCAGTAGGCTATAGTCAAGGGATACTTTATCAAAATATTGCCAGTTTTATGTAAGTTCAAAAATGGAGTTTTGACAAAACAATCTTAGGTCACCTGAGACAAGGTCTCAAGTGACCTATTGCGATCGCCTTTTGTCCGTCGTACGTCCGTAAACAATTTACATTTTCGACTTCTTCTCCAAAACCCCTGAACCAATTTCAATGAAATTTTGCAGAAACCTTCCATGGCCAAAGGTCAACAAACATAGTTGCCTGTTTAGTCCCCGGCCGCCAGGGGCGGGGCCAAAAAGGGTCAAATTGACTAAAATTTCAAAAATCTTCTTCTCAAGACCCAGATATGGTAGAATCAAATACTCTTCATAGATGGAAGGGTCTTAAGGTGCTTTACCAAAATTGTGAATTTCTTGACCCTGGGGTCTCACGTTTCCCCCTGGGGAGGGGGTAAACTTTACTATAGTTTATATAGGGAAATCACATTTTGGACCAACATCTGTTTAATTTTCATTGGAGGTAATTCAATTTGGGTTAGCATTATCAGTATTGGATAGCAGTTTGATGGTATGCACATATGAGCCCTGACTGACCCCCCGGGGCTGATGGGTGGAGCCAAAAAGGGTTGAATTGACTGAAATTTCAAAAAGAAATCTTCTCAAAGACCCAGATATGGTAGAATCAAACACTATCATAGATGGAAGGGTCTTAAGGTTTATGACCCTAGGGTCTCACGTTAACCCCCTGGGGAAGGAGGGGGGGAGGGGCAAAATTTATTATGGTTTATAATGGCAAATGATACTTTGAATATTACATGTTAATGAATATAACTTGATTGGAATAATAACCCTGAGTTGACAGTTTGATACTTTGAAAATTTTGAGCCAGCCCTACCCCCCCAAGGGCTGTAGGGTGGTGCCCAAAGGAGTCAGTGTGCTAACATTTCTTCATTTTCCTTGTTAAGAATCAGAGGTGCTAGTTTCAAATACTTTTTAGTCTTAAATCTGTATGCTAGATATTGAATAAGGTGGTTTTATTGTTTTTTTGTCACTGAATAATATTTCAAACAAAATGAACTCTCTGTTTAAATATATCAGGTGACCATTAAGGCCCATGGGCTTCTTGTTTATTTTTAATTTTCAAAAACTGATTACTAAGTATTTGTTAACTTTGACAATTTCTTTTTCAGAAATTCATTGACTTGATAGAAGTGAATATTACCTCAGTGACCATGGTAAGTCCTGTTCTGAGTTTTAAAGATAAATTGTCTATAAAATCTGTCATTTAGTTTGAGATAGTTTAGTCATCCTCAACATCAAAGCTACAAACTTAACTTCAAAGCTGTGAAATTTCTTTTCTGTTAAAATTGTGTGTGTTACTGACAAAAAACCCTCTGCAAACCGGCATGCAAGAATCTCTGCTTTGCATTTTAGAATCACTACTCTGGAGCTTAGATCCTATAGTCTAAATCCTCTCTGGAGCTAAGATCCTATAGTCTAAATCCTCTCTGGAGCTAAGATCCTATAGTCTAAATCCTCTCTGGAGCTAAGATCCTATAGTCTAAATCCTCTCTGGAGCTAAGATCCTATAGTCTAAATCCTCTCTGGAGCTAAGATCCTATAGTCTAAAGCCTCTCTGGAGCTAAGATCCTATAGTCTAAAGCCTCTCTGGAGCTAAGATCCTATAGTCTAAAGCCTCTCTGGAGCTAAGATCCTATAGTCTAAAGCCTCTCTGGAGCTAAGATCCTATAGTCTAAAGCCTCTCTGGAGCTAAGATCCTATAGTCTAAAGCCTCTCTGGAGCTAAGATCCTATAGTCTAAAGCCTCTCTGGAGCTAAGATCCTATAGTCTAAAGCCTCTCTGGAGCTAAGATCCTATAGTCTAAAGCCTCTCTGGAGCTAAGATCCTATAGTCTAAAGCCTCTCTGGAGCTAAGATCCTATAGTCTAAAGCCTCTCTGGAGCTAAGATCCTATAGTCTAAAGCCTCTCTGGAGCTAAGATCCTATAGTCTAAAGCCTCTCTGGAGCAAAGAACCTATAGTCTAAAGCCTCTTTGGAGCTAAGATCCTATAGTCTAAAGCCTCTCTGGAGCTAAGATCCTATAGTCTAAAGCCTCTTTGGAGCTAAGATCCTATAGTCTAAAGCCTCTCTGGAGCTAAGAACCTATAGTCTAAAGCCTCTTTGGAGCTAAGATCCTTTAGTCTAAAGCCTCTCTGGAGCTAAGATCCTATAGTCTAAAGCCTCTCTGGAGCTAAGATCCTATAGTCTAAAGCCTCTCTGGAGCTAAGATCCTATAGTCTAAAGCCTCTCTGGAGCTAAGATCCTATAGTCTAAAGCCTCTCTGGAGCTAAGATCCTATAGTCTAAAGCCTCTCTGGAGCTAAGATCCTATAGTCTAAAGCCTCTCTGGAGCTAAGATCCTATAGTCTAAAGCCTCTCTGGAGCTAAGAACCTATAGTCTAAAGCCTCTCTGAAGCTAAGATCCTATAGTCTAAAGCCTCTCTGGAGCTAAGATCCTATAGTCTAAAGCCTCTTTGGAGCTAAGATCCTATAGTCTAAAGCCTCTCTGGAGCTAAGATCCTATAGTCTAAAGCCTCTCTGAAGCTAAGAACCTATAGTCTAAAGCCTCTCTGGAGCTAAGATCCTATAGTCTAAAGCCTCTCTGAAGCTAAGAACCTATAGTCTAAAGCCTCTGAAGCTAAGAACCTATAGTCTAAAGCCTCTCTGGAGCTAAGATCCTATAGTCTAAAGCCTCTCTGGAGCTAAGAACCTATAGTCTAAAGCCTCTCTGGAGCTAAGATCCTATAGTCTAAAGCCTCTCTGGAGCTAAGAACCTATAGTCTAAAGCCTCTCTGGAGCTAAGATCCTATAGTCTAAAGCCTCTCTGGAGCTAAGAACCTATAGTCTAAAGCCTCTCTGGAGCTAAGATCCTATAGTCTAAAGCCTCTCTGGAGCTAAGATCCTATAGTCTAAAGCCTCTCTGGAGCTAAGATCCTATAGTCTAAAGCCTCTCTGGAGCTAAGATCCTATAGTCTAAAGCCTCTCTGGAGCTAAGATCCTATAGTCTAAAGCCTCTCTGGAGCTAAGATCCTATAGTCTAAAGCCTCTCTGGAGCTAAGATCCTATAGTCTAAAGCCTCTCTGGAGCTAAGCTAATTTAGTGTAAAGCCTCTCTGGAGCTAAGATTCTATAGTCTTAAGCCTCTCTGAAGCTAAGATCCTATAGTCTAAAGCCTCTCTGAAGCTAAGAACCTATAGTCTAAAGCCTCTGAAGCTAAGAACCTATAGTCTAAAGCCTCTCTGGAGCTAAGATCCTATAGTCTAAAGCCTCTCTGGAGCTAAGATCCTATAGTCTAAAGCCTCTCTGGAGCTAAGATCCTATAGTCTAAAGCCTCTCTGGAGCTAAGATCCTATAGTCTAAAGCCTCTCTGGAGCTAAGATCCTATAGTCTAAAGCCTCTCTGGAGCTAAGATCCTATAGTCTAAAGCCTCTCTGGAGCTAAGATCCTATAGTCTAAAGCCTCTCTGGAGCTAAGATCCTATAGTCTAAAGCCTCTCTGGAGCTAAGATCCTATAGTCTAAAGCCTCTCTGGAGCTAAGATCCTATAGTCTAAAGCCTCTCTGGAGCTAAGATCCTATAGTCTAAAGCCTCTCTGGAGCTAAGATCCTATAGTCTAAAGCCTCTCTGGAGCTAAGATCCTATAGTCTAAAGCCTCTCTGGAGCTAAGATCCTATAGTCTAAAGCCTCTCTGGAGCTAAGATCCTATAGTCTAAAGCCTCTCTGGAGCTAAGATCCTATAGTCTAAAGCCTCTCTGGAGCTAAGATCCTATAGTCTAAAGCCTCTCTGGAGCTAAGATCCTATAGTCTAAAGCCTCTCTGGAGCTAAGATCCTATAGTCTAAAGCCTCTCTGGAGCTAAGATCCTATAGTCTAAAGCCTCTCTGGAGCTAAGATCCTATAGTCTAAAGCCTCTCTGGAGCTAAGATCCTATAGTCTAAAGCCTCTCTGGAGCTAAGATCCTATAGTCTAAAGCCTCTCTGGAGCTAAGATCCTATAGTCTAAAGCCTCTCTGGAGCTAAGATCCTATAGTCTAAAGCCTCTCTGGAGCTAAGATCCTATAGTCTAAAGCCTCTCTGGAGCTAAGATCCTATAGTCTAAAGCCTCTCTGGAGCTAAGATCCTATAGTCTAAAGCCTCTCTGGAGCTAAGATCCTATAGTCTAAAGCCTCTCTGGAGCTAAGATCCTATAGTCTAAAGCCTCTCTGGAGCTAAGATCCTATAGTCTAAAGCCTCTCTGGAGCTAAGATCCTATAGTCTAAAGCCTCTCTGGAGCTAAGATCCTATAGTCTAATTTAGCTACAGATTTGGTCACTTTATTTTAATCTAGTTCATTGAGCAAAACTGTTGAAACAAAAGTCAGCTACATGTGTAGGAATAGGAATATAAATTTATTCCCTGAAGAAAAATCATGAACACGATTTAGAAAAGTAATATATATATATATATATGCATTTTTAAAGATTTTGAAAATATTTTGAAGTGGAAACCGTTTGAACATTGTTCTTTACATTTACATAGATGACTAGTATTGTGATGCCACAAATGGTTGCTAAGAAGAAGGGAGTTATTGTCAATTTGTCGTCTGCTTCAGGGATGAAACCCACACCCCTACTGGGTGTGTACGCAGCGGCCAAGGTACTTATACACTACAGTCTTACAGTTCACTCAGCTGTGTGACAGCTTATAATGTTGGTCTGACCAGACAAGAATTATAATGCCATTCAAAAGTCATCAATATGAAAATATTGTTATCCCCTGTATCAATAACAAGGAAGGAGAGTGGTCTGTATATGTGGCAGACAAGGAAATTAAACTGTGGACTGTTTGTACCATTGTAATCAGTAATAAAAAATTGTTTTCTTGCATGGGACTGAATAGTTTGGACTGGCCTGGGATTGAATAGTTTGGACGGGCATGGGACTGAATGGTTTGGACTGGCCTGGGACCGAATAGTTTGGACTGGTCTGGGACCGATAGTTTAGACTGGCCTGGGACTGAATAGTTTGGACTGGCCTGGGACTGAATAGTTTGGACTGGCCTGGGACTGAATAGTTTGGACTGGCCTGGGACTGAATAGTTTGGACTGGCCTGGGACTGAATAGTTTGGACTGGCCTGGGACTGAATTGTTTGGACTGATGTGATTTGTATATTACCCCAAATGTATATAAATCATATAAAGCAGTGTAACCTTCTTAAATCTAAACACTTAAATTCGATTATCATACGTAAGAAAAATCAACATTTATGTAAAAGCATCCAAGAATATAGCATGGTAACTAATTAACTTGCATGTACACTTGTTTATGTGTCATTTTCAGGCCTATGTTGATTACTTCTCTGTGTGTATGCAGAAGGAATATGAATCAAAAGGCATTATTGTCCAGGTAAGTTTCTTTATATATATATATATTTGCTTCTAATTTACCTGCACTTGAAATTGATACCAAATCTGATATTACAATGCCTGTGTAAAATATTTATGCACTATATAGGAAAATAAAGATTTCCCCAAATAGATTTTTATCACAATTTTAAATAATTTATTTTTATAAAATGATTATATTCTGTTATGTATTTTCTTTGCTTAGGATTGATCCCTTATAGTATTTCTACATGTACTTCAAACAATGTAATAATTCCACTGAAAACAATCAGTGGGGAGATCAGTATTGCTGAATAATTCATATTTTTTAACTTTTGCCTCAAATTCGAACTGCATATCTACTATCAGGTAATTGTACTTGAATGACAAAACGACAGACAGGCAATTGCTAGAAGAAGGTTGATTTGTATATTTTTCAGTCAGTGATGCCAAACTTTGTGACCACCAAGATGAGTAAGATAAGGAAGGCGAGTCTGATGGTTCCTAACCCCGACACGTTTGTTAGTTCAGCCCTGAGTCTCATTGGAGTGTCAAACCGTACCAACGGGTATTGGAGCCACAACCTCCTGGTAATAATGCTTCAACACACAAACATAAGATTGTTTGAATTTCTGTTTTTTTGTTATGTTCAAATTGTATTTTATTCCCCCAGCCTATTTTGGGAGGGATGCCAGGGTTGGGGTGCTCCAGACTCATCCCTCTTTTTTAATATATCCTCACAAAGGAGGGAGGGATGCCAGGGTTGGGGTGCCCCGGGTTCATCCCTCTTACATAATGTAACCTCACACAGCAGGGAGGGATGCCAGGGTTGGGGTGCCCCGGGTTCATCCCTATTACATAATGTAACCTCACACAGCAGGGAGGGATGCCAGGGTTGGGGTGCCCCGGGTTCATCCCTATTACATAATGTAACCTCACACAGGAGGGATGGATGCCAGGGTTGGGATGCCCCAGACTCATCCATCTTACATAATGTAACCTCACACAGCAGGGAGGGATGCCAGGGTTGGGATGCCCCAGGCTCATCCCTCTTACATAATGTAAACTACACATTCATTATTGTACAGGATATATATCATAGACCCTAGTCTGTCGCCTATAGCTACATATTCATTATTGTACAGGACATATATTATATACCCTAGTCTGTCACCTATAGCTATATATTCATTATTGTACAGAACATATATTATATACCCTAGTCTGTCGACTATAGCTACATATTCATTATTGTACAGGACATATATTATATACCCTAGTCTGTCACCTATAGCTATATATTCATTATTGTACAGAACATATATTATATACCCTAGTCTGTCACCTATAGCTACATATTCATTATTGTACAGGACATATATATACCCTAGTCTGTCGCCTATAGCTACATATTCATTATTGTACAGAACATATATCATATACCCTAGTCTGTCGCCTATAGCTACATATTCATTATTGTACAGGACATATATATACCCTAGTCTGTCGCCTATAGCTTCATATTCATTATTGTACAGAACATATATCATATACCCTAGTCTGTCGCCTATAGCTACATATTCATTTTTGTACAGGACATATATCATATACCCTAGTCTGTCGCCTATAGCAGATAAGCTACATATTCATAATTGTACAGGACATATATCATATACCCTAGTCTGTCGCCTATAGCTACATATTCATTATTATACAGGACATATATCATATACCCTAGTCTGTCGCCTATACCTACATATTCATTATTGACAAACTTTGAATGCGAGTACTTCTTGGGATGGTGGAGTGTTGCATAATGAAATCTGGTCTTATTTTATCAAGGTTTACAGAGTTAGGGCCCTTTGTTCAAAGTTTGTCCAAGACATACATATGTATCTGATACTTCCTGTCACCTGCTTTTGTCATTTTTTTGTGAGCACTTCTTTGGATCAGGCAATCCCTAATCCCAAAAGTTAAAATTAATGACAAACTTCCATACCCAAAATGAACCAAGGGCCATAAATCTATATAATAGGAAGGCAGAAGACTTTTTAGGATGGCATGGTGCATGACCATAATAAAAAGTCTTCTTCACCAGAGGAAGTGTCACTCATGAATACCTCTGGAGTATGCCCAGAAGAATATCTTGAGACAACTCTACGGTAGAAAAATAGTTTCATGGAGTGTAAACTTTGATGTCCATAATGCCAGAAAAAGTCATAAAAAGTATAGACAGATACAATTTTAAAGTTTTGTCATAATGTCAGCTTTGATTAATCTGGATAAAGGACTGTACATAAAAGTTCTCTTCAAAGATTGTTTATTCACTGTAAACATGTGTGAACATCAGACACAAACGCTGCTCACCATAATTCTTGCATTATCAACGGTTGTCTAGTGGTAGGACGCCGGGCTCGTGACCGAAGGGTTGCGAGTTCGATTCGCGTCACGGCACTGCGTTGTATCTTTGAGCAAGATACTTAACTCTGCTTGTTCCAGTCTACTCAGCTGTAAATGAGTATGTGGTTTGGTAGTGCTAGAATTGTAGAATGCTAGCTGTGAGCGCCGAAATGGCAGCACCGGCTGTACGCTCCCCAGGGAGTTCCAGGGAGTTGAGAAAGATATTGGCTGTTTGCAAAACCTATAACCACAGATAATAATTTGAAACTAGGTTGTGATAAAGCGGTATATAGAACCTCAAATTATTATTATCATTTATATTATTATCCAGTCAGAAATAATCTTTTTGTTTTTGTATTTGCAGGGGTACTTAACCAATTCCTTACCATTGTGGTTTACTTCAATGGTGTCCTTCAAGATCTTGAACACAGCCAGAGTCCGAGCCTTCAAGAAGCTTGCTCAGCAGAAGAAGGAATAGAGTCTTCAAATATGTTTAACCAATTAAGCACAACTTCCAGTTGGCTATTTGATTATCTTCTGTCGTTTAATTTTTGTGAATGAAAACTTGTAATCAGAGATTTGACTCGGTGAATTTTCTTCTTCATACATGTATGTCACCATGACATTTAGTACTATTAACATCAAAGTTTGGACTACCAGTTCATATTTATTAAACCATATTCAATCAGTGTTGTATTTGCAAAGGATCAAACTGTTAACATGTTATTATATTTGTAAACATCACCTGTACTTGCACATTTGGTGCTGATCGTATCACTTACCGTTGCAACATAAAAATGTCTGTCTTTTTCAGCATGTAACTTTAACTTTGTGTTTGTCCAACCTGTAACATTAACCCTCAGGGTTAAAGGTCATTTATTTATTCCAGAATGGATAAAAAGAACTAAGTGTAACTAAAGATATTTACATTCCCACCGTACAGCCTCTTAATGAACCTACCAAGTAATGATCACAGTTATTTTTAGGAGAATGTTTTCCATTTTGAAACTGTTCAGGTCTATCTCTCATACTTTTGCAGTGTTTGAATAATAAGGGACAAATCATGCTGTGACATGAAGCTGAAACTTTGATACGCATTCCTCAGTGGTTTCTGATAGACATTTGTACGAATAGTAAACTAACCATACCCTCTCAACTTAAACATGAAGGGGGATAACTCTTACAAGTAAATTACGCTTATTTGTGGGAAGCAAATCAAGTGCTATAAAAACACACAGAATAAGTGAATTTAAATCAATAAACTCAACTTATCAGTTACAGACATTGGATGGAAGTTTATTTTGAACGTGTTAGTTTTTGATACTTTTGTATTAATGTTTGAAATTTTGACAAAGGTGGTGGATGATTTTCTCCACACTTCACAAATCTATTTCGGTTTTTGCTAGGGAAAATATTCACCTGTTTTTACCTACATGGGGGAAAAAACAGCTTACACATGCAATTATTCTGAAAATGTCACAATCATATCATTACTTTGTGTAGTGTAACTAGGGTAAATTATGTTACAATTTCATTTGTCCTAGATGATGGCAGATAACTTTTGTGGGAGGAAAGTGTGTGAGAAAAATAATCAATCAATCCAGCTGTGTGATGATGCAAAGAAAACTCAACCCTCGGATAGGATTTTAAAGTTTCGCAGCTGGCAAAGCCTTGTAATAAATTTCAAAAATGTTACCCACATGTTGGGATTTCTTTGTATACAATCACACACAAGTTAAAGATTCAATAAGTCTAGATCTAGTTGTTCATATACAAACTCAGCACTTTTTGCTGAGTTTGTTTGGAAGAAGAATGGTTTTTAATATTAGTTTCATTATCAAGTTCTGTAACTGTGATTCATAGAAAATAAATGTATATCATTTATGACGAATAATATACGTATAGTAATTTTTTGTACCCCAGGTTATACAATCATGTGTATTGATAATATTAGAAAATCATTTTATGATCGGTATGTATACATAGTGATTAGTACCATATGATGATGGCTGGGAATGGATTAAGGTATGTCCTTTTGATAAGGTATGTACTGATATCAAAAACAGTATTTAGTTCAACAAATCCTCAGGATCTACCCTTGTTTTCATGTGTTCCGATCAACAGGATATTTTAACCTGTTTTTGTCACTAGTCTGCAATTTTGGCTTATATGTGCCAGACAGTAATACAATAAGATGATATGTTCTGTAGTTTGTTTACTATTCTCTGTTCCTTTGTCATGTGTGTAGTCCATGTAGATATAGTATATCCACCATCAAGTGAGCTGTGTAGGCTACAATGAAATGAAGAAACAGCGATATCAGACCTGTACACCATGTGACTAGAATCACATGCCACCTTAAAGAGAATTATTTGCTATTACTTATTAGTTACCTTTTGTATTTTCCTTGTTCATCTCAAAGATAATTTTCAAGGGATTTTCAATTTCTAAAATTTACGAGGGATTTTCAATTTCTATATTTTTCGGGGGATTTTCAATTTCTATAATTTTCGAGGGAGTTTCAATTTCTATAATTTTCGAAGGAGTTTCAATTTTTATAATTTTCGAGGGAGTTTCAATTTCTATAAACTGTCATTTGGTGTTTCTTTACTTGGGTTACATTATATGCTTGTGATTGGGATCTACTTTTTTTAGTATTTTTGTTGCAAGAAATATATTTAGACTAGCAATGTAACACATTTTCTTTATTAACAAAACTGACAACTAATCCTCCATTAATGTTGGTTTCCCAGGGTCAAGAATTTAATGTTAAGGAAAATACATGTCAATCTTTTGAGAAAGAACAACATACACCAGTCAGCTCATTAATTGTGCAATATTGATACATATGTAGGTGTATCATCTGTTTTGCTTTTATTGATTAGAGGTACATCTATCCAAGTGCTCATTAATAGGTGATACCTTATTCATACCTGATTACAGAAGAAATGTCAATGCATTGAGTACATTCCTTAAAATTCATGTAAGAATATTTGTATTCAGGACCAACATCTTATTAGAAATCCATTCTAATCCATCACCGGTAAGCATTATTACATAGACTTGTACCTAGGTTTTCAACCTTGTTAGTTTTGTAAGTTGTTTTTCCACTTTTGAAGGAACACTCTATATTTTATTATTTAGAGCGAATTTTTTTATACAATGTAGTACTAACCCTAGCCATAATGTGGTGAAACATGTCAATTTCAGACGTATGTGTAGATGTTTTTGGCTACTGCCTTATTAATTCATATGAGAACATCTATATGAGTCGGAGAGGAGTTCATGGAAGGGGCGTTCTAGCAAATATAGAGAGACCAGATTATATATTTTCAGTACCAAGTATGTCATATTATTTATATTAAACTTTAACTGGACAAAGTCAAACTTTTATTTACCCACAACTAATATTGTGGTATAAATTATGAATGCCAGAATTATCGACAGTTCATCCTATTCTGTATCTGTCACAAAGTACATGTAATATTCAAAGTACAGCTGACTATTTCTGCCTGAAATATACAGTGTATGTCCTTGAGCTTTGACAGAAGATGGAGCTGCCTAATTGCACACCTCTAGATACACAATAATGACGCTCTGAAGTGGAATGATGCTAGAATATATTTATTTTGATATTCTGCTAGTCCCGTCCCCAGCCACCTCAGAATCAAATTTGTGTCCCAAATCACATTTTTCACATGTTTCTTATAGTCATTTCATCAGTTCTTGGTGATGTTTGATCGAATGAATCTTATTTGTCATTTCAGGAGTACTGAGTCGGAGTGATGAATGAATGTAAATTAAATCTGAAACATTTTTAAACACTTATTATCAGTAAACATCTTCTAATTAAGTCAATTGTGTACGGTACTGTGACAGTTCTTAGAATAGTTACAGGTAATACCTTAGAGGGAGAGTGCCGATATAAGGCTTGTTTTTGAGATTGGACATTTATTCATTGAATAATCCTGCCTATAAAGTAAATGGATACTAATAAGTTAAACTACAGTATTACCATTGTCACTGTTTAGAAATACTTATTTTAAGTCTTTTAAAAGCTTTTAAGAAGTACTATACCTTAAAAAAGCACATAATGCAAAAAAGCACATAATGCAAAACAGTTTTTGCAAAATTACAGTTTGTGATTCGGATGTTTGAAAATAACAGAAAAAGTTCAGAGGTCGAACTCAGGACTTTTATATACCAATGCTACACAGTACCAATGTCCACAAATTATAAATGAACATTTATGGGCTGGAAAATGAAGGAAAAATAAAAATAAGCTTAAAAAATGCATAACCAACAAAAATTAAATCATTTGGTTGCTTCGTCTCCTAAATATAAGGGAGATCACTAAAAATACAACAACTCATGACTAGAACTTTTCTCTAAGATTATAACTGATATGTATAGTGCTACTCTTTACCTTAAATGTTGAAATTTTGAGAAAATGTGATTGTGTAGTACTGTATATCCAAGAATGGTGAGGTGTTTGTTGTCAAATTATTTTGTGGTGAAACTGGTTCTAAATGATGTGGTTACTATTAGACGTGACATCTTATGCAGCAAATCCAGGGTATACAGATCTACAAGGATCACGATGGGGATATACAACTGTATGCAAGTCTTTTATAACAACTTTTGTTTTGGTATGTATAAATCATGTTAAACAAATTTACATGTTTGTAAGAATTAAGCTACTTTATAGCCTACAAATCATTTGTCACTGGGAATTTATGAAATAAATCAATTGGAAATGAAATCATGCGTTGTTTCAAATGTTATATTTTTGACTTGATTTCTGAAAATATGATATAATATCACAAACCTTATGCCATAATATATACACATGTATCCCCACCCCCACCCCCCCAAAGACTCTTGTCTCTCCCAATGCCTGTATAACTAACATAAGAGGTAAAAAGTAATCGCCCACTGTATCAGATCTTTGAATATGCATATTTGCATGGTAACAAAACTGATGGACCTGTGATGTCATAGTTGCCATCATAATACATGGATGAGGCAGATCTCCTAATGAGGGCAGGATCAGACAGTATTCATCATCTTACTCCTATTTGCATTTCTGAGAAGCTAGTAACAAGAGGGCCTGTATTGCTCACCTTGAAAAAGTTCTCAATATAAATAATTTTGAAAATATTTCCACATATTGAGTCACCTACATGTAAGCATAAGAGTGTTCCAGACTAATGATTGAGAATGACTTATTCTTGCATACTAGACCCAGATATCCGCATTTCCAGCAGTGCTGGAAAATTCTATTCGACCCACGGGTCTAGATCGCTTACATGCGCAGACTTGCATGGGAATAATAGTGACCTTTAGAGGTCATTTTATGACGTTTTGGGGTCAGTCAGGGTCTTTGACGTCACTAACAATTGACATCCGGCCTTCATATGCGAATGAGAAATGTGCAGACAGTTAACAACTTTACCAGAAGAGCAGCTGTTTTTACGGGTTTTAGGTAATAAGAAAATAATAGAATCCATCCCTGGTGTAAGGTAAGGATAAGGTTATTCAAAACCTCGGGATAAAATATTGAGCAAAAGACGCAAAGCCTCAGGTTTCCTGCTCAATATTTTATCCCTAGTGTTTGAATAACCTTATCGATACCTCACATCAGGGATGGATTCTATTAATCTGTACTGAAGAAGGAATTCAAAGATTTTTCTCTTGTTGCATCTATTGAACTCCATCCTGCTGCATTTTGGGGACCCAGACCCTCCATTTATAAAACATGGAGTCCTCTAGGTTCAAGAATATTTAATACTAAATTTGGTCAGGTAGGTCAAGGTCATTTCTTTGATGGCATCTCTTTATTAGGACGAAGTTGACCCTAAAAGTAGGTCAAGGTCATTTACTGGAGAGAAATTTGTACTGTTATATCCCAGCATGCTACTTTTAATTATACGTTGGTGCAGGCAAATTTGTCACATAAGTGAGGGTTTCGGTTAATTATTCGTCCAAAAAAGCATGTATCAAAATGCAGGCGAACACCAGTACAGAAGATTTGACTGAAATGCCTATAAATAAAGATTGTTGTAAACACGCCTTAGGCTGCCTTCGACTCGCATCAGAGTTATAACTCGGGCAGTCAAACGCGCAGGGTTCTTACTCGAGTGTACTAAAAATAGATTTCAGACGGAAGGTGAAGGTCGGAGAGTTTGGCGGCAGTTAAGATGTCGGACGAAGGAAAGGAATGCGACATGTGAGTTTAGATAATTTTGTATTGTGATGAGTTGGAACAAATTGGAAACTTCCCTATACTTTCTTGGTTACTCATGTATCATTTGAATGCAAGTAACATTTTCTAAGGCTCGACTTGCTCCGTACCACCACCGTGTGGTCCAACTATTTCAAGTATTTTCTCAAAAGTTTCTCTTTGTAGTCTAAAATGGGTCTTAAAATCATCAATGGAATAATGAGGCACAAGTGTCACTGCAAACATTCCAATTCTTGGCACCTGCTCCCTGACATGTGGATCTTCTTACGGTGAAGTGAAATTGCAAGGTTTTGGGAGTGTATGCACCATATTGCTTCGTCGGCAGCCAAAATTTCATTCAGCACATGAAATAATAAAACTTTTGCCGCCATATTAACTTGAGAGTAAAGCATTCGACTGGCGGCAAGTTTTGCGTTACTATAAATAACCCAATTCTTACACGAGAGTTGCGAGTCGAAGGCAGCCTTAATGACGTCACGCAGCAACATTTGTGACGTCATCAGGCTTTCCGTGGTTTTGCTCAAAGGTGAAGGCAGTTTCGCCACCTTCAAACATTTAACTTATTAACAAGTAATCGAAGTGTTTAAATATAAAACTTTGTATATTTATGTTATACAAGCCGCACTGATACGAACAGCTCCAAATGTGGACATAAAATTGTACTGCAGTATTTTTTGGTCTGATTTTTTGACAGCTAAATAAGTCTCATCAAGGGTCATTGACCAGTCAGAAGTTGAAGCCAAAGTTGTTTGACTTTGGTGTGGAAGCATCCTAAAAATAGCAGAAATTCAGGGCTGGATTTTCACGAACTTGAAGAGTTGTGCCCCTTTGTTTGCTTTCCTATACATCTTCTTCTTGCAGTTTATCATCCATATTTTTATTTTTCCATTTGTTATGCACTTCATATACATCTGATGAGGATGGGAGATATTTAAAAATGCTCCAAATTTGTGTGTAATAGTGATTAACATTGAAATACATGGCTTTTCTTAAGAGTGAAAGTTAATTTTCGGTAACCTGAAGAAACTGATTAATGTTGTTTGAGAAAGATGGCTGGTATCAGCTGAGATGATGTCAATTTACATGATACGCAATAAAGACTCAGTCTTAAACGAATATAAACTTCCAAATCGCTGCCCAATATTATATTTTTTCATCGGGTTCGGATAAGAGAGCCCCCCCCCCCCCCCCGACTTTGGAGAATTTGTCACATGTACATCTCCGATTGACTTGCAAGTCAATGGAAAACATCTGACAAATTAAAACAGTTTTCTTGGGCTTGAAAACTTATTCAACAAAGACTGCCCAGCCAGGTGTTCTAAATGTAAAAAACACCTGTTTTTGATAATTGCCGGTCTCTACGTACAATCAGCATGCGATTGTACAGCAGTACTTTCAGGACGACAACAAATTCCTTTCAAATGTAAATCTAGATAATTTCTGGTAATTTAATTTTTGAAGATTGTTGAACGTAAGACGCAAACAATACTTTCAAAAAGATACTGGTTGATTGTATTGTAAATACACATAGCGTGAAAATGGAAACTGCCGAATTATCAAATTGTGGATCTTTCCGGTCGTCATTTCCATAAACACGCATTGGATCGTCAGTACATTGTACATGTACCAAAATACACTTGTAGAAAAATAATTTACTTGCAGTAACTGCAATTAGCGTTAAGATATGGGTATTGTCATGTGTATGTAATAAATTTACACTGAATAACAACCAACTAGCCTCAGATTAAAGAGTTTAATTGACGAGATGTCCGTCGCACAGACCACATTTTTAAGATGCGTTGTGTTACAAGATATTTCATAACTGTTTTGATTACAAGTATAACTTTTCCCTTCTTATACCTCTTCTTGTCTTAATATTTGATGGCTTTAACCGTATTGAAGACTATGGTGATGTTATTTACGTCACATCTTATGTATTATGACGTCATATGGCATTTTCGTCACAGGGTGGCGAATTTGGGTGCATGGCGAATTTGCCTGCACTAACGTTTGCCCTGTGCCTCCTGGTTATACAAGTTGTTTTAAGGCTTTTACATATTTCATGCATGTGACCTTGAAAGTAGGCCAAGGTCGTCCATTTGAGAAAACTTATAGCACTACATCCTAGGTACATACTGGCTAAATATCACCCTGGACCTTTTGGTTATTCAGAAGAAGTTGCATTTTTTTTTATATATATTTGACCACAGTTGCCATGCCAGGTACCTACTGGCCAAATATAATTACACTAGGCCTTTTGATTATTCAGAAGAAATTGTTCAAAGGTTTTTAGCTCACCTGCCAGAAGGGCATGTGAGCTTATGCCATGGCAGGTTGTCCGTCCGTCAACTTTTTGTTTAAACAACAGTCTGAAAGTCCTACAGTCATGATATTTGGCCAGTAACAACCTGGGATGGAGCTCAACAAAGTTTGCAATGAAAATGAGGTCACAGGGGTCAAATAAGTCAAAACATTCAAACAACTTCTTCTGAAGATCAGAAAGGCCTAGTCATTATATTTGGCCAGTAACATCCTATGTTGGAGCCCAACAAAGTTTGCAAATGAAAATGACCTTGACCAAGTTTCAAGGTCACAGGGTTCAAATATGTTAAAATCTTCAAACAACAATATCTTAAGAACCACTTGGTCTAGAGTCATGATACTTGAGTATATTATGTAGACCAGCTGTGTGAATTGTATTCTTAATTACAGTAATGAGTTCAAAGGTCAACTTGAAGTGCTAATCGGAGTCAAAGGTCAATGATTGTTAAAAGCTTTAAAATCAAAGTTTCAACCAACAATATCTTAAGAACCTTTTAAGAGATGTTAAAATGACTTGTGTTCTAGTTACCAAATTTGGTCTGAAGTTACCTATATGTAAGTTACATGTAAGTAAAGAAACAGGTGAGTGATACAGGCTCTCTTGTTAAATATTCAACCCCTGTGACCTTGAAAGTTGGTGAAGGTAATTTATTTGATGACATTGTATAGCACTCCACCCCAGGTACCTACTGGCCAAATGTTATGACCCTAGGTCCTCAAGTTCTTAAAAAAGAAGTCGTTTTTTAGAAAAAGTTGCTGGACGACGTCGACCGACCAACAACAGACTACCCAGTATACACCATAATACTTTGTGCCAGGTGAGCTAAAAACCAAAGCTTTTCTTCACAGTGTCTCTAAAAGGGTCATGTTTTAATATATTTAGTATAATACTTAATGATGTACAAAAATCAATTTCATTGGATACACTCAGATTATTTGTTTTTTCCACCTTGGACTGAGGATGGGATGCAGTGAGCATGCATGATAATGAAGGGGTTTATTCCACTCTTATATACAATATTGATATTAAGAATATTTCATTCCACTTGAAACCAAGCAAGTTTAGATCCTGGTTATAAATGCTGCATTAAGTAGGAGGGAATATATCAACAATTAAAGGTGCTTCAATGGAAAACATGTGACTTCTGTTACTTTGCTAGAAAATTGTAAATATATGTACGAGATCTGAATATCTGGCTGGTTGGTAGTACTTTATACATCTTCTCATTTACGAGCTGGCTAGACAATACCCTGAGGATAACGACCAACACATAATGTATATATTAAATTTATTTGTCAACATGGATGTCTCTCCAATACACTTGATATATAAATGTGACAGCATTATGTCAATTCTGCCAGTGTTACTGATTCAGAACAGAATATTTTACTGAATTACAGCACGTGATACTTACAGCTACATGCTTTCAACATCAAGTCTACTTATCAGGATGTAGTTCTTCAAAAGTCTAAAGAAAAACGAGTTTCTTAACCATTTAATATTGAAGCATTCATTAGTTCCCAAAACAACTATCACAACTACATTTCATTCTATAAGCAGGTAATATGATCATGTACATGTATCTATTACATTTTGGAAGATTACCTGGGTACAATTTTACTATTCAATGAAATCAGAATGTAAAACTCTTAAAAAACATGTGCTACACATGCAAGAGTGTCAAATTAATTGTATTGATAATAAGCACTTCAGACATAAAAATAAAATAAAATCTAATGTTATCTAAAAGGAGCAATGAAAGATCTTGTGTATTAATGAGAAGCATTATAAAATGAATTAAGTCAACGTAACAATCTGAGCAGTGAATCATTTAAAAACAAAACAGGTACAAAACCGTGGCTGTGTGTGATGACATTTATGTTCAGCGTGCTGACCCATAACACAATAAGGAGATATTGTTTTATGACAGAATACTGCTAATTCAAATATCCCCAAATTAACCTGTTGTTACAGATCCTAATACTCTTCATTCCTTTTACGGCAAGACATCATCCCGGTACAAAGTCTCAACAAAGATTTATAAGATAAAAGAAAAATGAAGGAAGTGATATCCCATTGAGCCAATTAGGCTTGGCTCAATCAGGTTGATTTTTATATGTCTGATTTCACCACATACCATTCCAACCCCCATTAGTACTGTGTGTTAAACTAGTGCTAAAATCCAACTGGTGAATAGGAATTAAATGAGGAATACTTTTTCAATAAACTTAAAAAAAAAACCACTAGAAAATGACTGTAAGACATAAATGCCCCTGCTGCCATGTGAAATTAGCTTCAGTGTTCTTTAAAAAGTTACAACCACTTTGATCTTGATACCTTGAAACATGCACACACACAAGGTACTACACTTAAAGTTGATAAGTTGATTTTAATATTCATATGTTTTTCTGTATGTTATTACCATCCTGAAACACAAGGATGTCAGAGGTATACCCATATTTGACCTTTATATAAAGTTTGACCAAAATCCATGAAAGAATGAAGTTGTTAAGTGTTTAAATTGAATCAGTTGATGATTTTTCTATATATAGCAACAGTGACCATGGCCTTGACCTTGGAACCCTGAAACACAAGGATGTCAGAGGTATACCCATATTTGACCTTTGTATAAAGTTTGACCAAAATCCATGAAAGAATGAAGTTGCTAAGTGTTTAAATTGAATCAGTTGATGATTTTTCTATATATAGCAACAGTGACCATGGCCTTGACCTTGGAACCCTGAAACACAAGGATGTCAGAGGTATACCCATATTTGACCTTTGTATAAAGTTTGACCAAAATCCATGAAAGAATGAAGTTGCTAAGTGTTTAAATTGAATCAGTTGATGATTTTTCTATATATAGCAACAGTGACCATGGCCTTGACCTTGGAACCCTGAAACACAAGGATGTCAGAGGTATACCCATATTTGACCTTTGTATAAAGTTTGACCAAAATCCATGAAAGAATGAAGTTGCTAAGTGTTTAAATTGAATCAGTTGATGATTTTTCTATATATAGCAACAGTGACCATGGCCTTGACCTTGGAACCCTGAAACACAAGGATGTCAGAGGTATACCCATATTTGACCTTTGTATAAAGTTTGACCAAAATCCGTGAAAGATTGAAGTTGCTAAGTGTTTAAATTGAATCAGTTGATGATTTTTAGTCTAATCGCTTTCCGTCCGTCGTCCTTCCTGCGTAAACTTTTTACATTTTCAACTTCTTCTCAAGAACCAGTGGATGGAATTTTTTCAAACTTGGTCAGAATCATCCTTGGTAGATGAGGCTACCCCAACCCCTGGGGCCAGGGCAGAGGCCCAAAGGGAAAATTAACCAATATTTCAAAAATCTTCTACTCCAGACTACTACATTCAATTTCAGTTTATAAAAAGAAAGATCATCAGGGGCTTTATTCAAATTATAAATTTCAGGACCCCCGAGCTATTCGTTCTCCCTAGGGGAGGGGGTAAAGTTTACTATAGTTTATATAGGGAAATTACACTTTTGATTATTTTGACAACATTCTGTAGGAAATTACTTTTACCCGGTGAGAATTATTCTTGGAGGAAGATGGTTTCAATTTGTAAAATTTGGATTCCTACCTCAACCCCTGGGGCCAGGGTGGGGCCCCAAAGGGAAATTTAAACAAATATTTCAAAAATCTTCTTCTCCAGACTCGGAGGTACTACATTCAATTTCAGTGCATAAAAAAAGATCATCAGGGGCTTTATTTAAATTGTAAATCTCAGGACCCCCGAGCTATCTGTTCTCCCTTGGGGAGGGGGTAAAGTTTACCACAGTTTATATAGGGAAATAACACTTTTGGGTATATTTTATCCATTTTCAGCAGAAAATTATTCAAACTTAGTCAGAATCATCTTTGGTGAATGAGGGTATTACATTGTAAAATTAGGATACCTGCCTGATCCCCAGGGGCTAGGGCGGGGCCCCAAAGGGAACATTTACCAATATCTTCAAATTCTTATCCTTTGATGACATGACAAGTATTGTTTTTCACTCTTAGTTTACATGCTGATTTCCACATCACATCTAAACAATAAAATAAAGCTACCGGTACCTATGATATAACTCAGGTGACCGCTAAGGCCCTTGGGCCTCTTGTCTATATATAGCAACAGTGACCTTGACCTTGGATAAACTGAAAACTTTTGTGCTAATTAAAGTCATACTTCTGTATCTGAAGACAATTAACCAAAACTTATCGCCCAAACAAATTTTGGTTACTGCTAACTGCATGATGAAGACCTCTGGGGCTGGTTACAGAAGAGTCAAAGGCAAGCATGTTTAGGAACCTTTCAGTTAAATTTGACCCAATTTACACTAAAATTATGATATTCACTTTTAAATAACTTGTTTTTAATGAAACAGTCAATACAAAACAGAACTGGAAATTGACAACCTATTTGCAATCATGCGGCAAACAAGAATTGTTTGAGTAAATACAAATATGCTACAGAAACAGTTAAAAATGATACACAACAACTTCTCTAACCAATAGAAATTAAAGCTCAACAAAAATACAAGTCATCTCATCAATAGAGGGGAGTTAATGAAACTTTCAGCTTTATGGAAACATCTGTACATGTGTTGAGTGTAGAATGTACATTAATGGTTCAATTAAGTACTGAGAAACAAAAACAATTAATATGATATTTTAGGTATGGTATTTAGGGTATTATATATGAAAACATAACTATATATCGCTGGAAGGTTATAAAACAGGAGAACACTATTTGGCAACATGAGAAATAAGGAGGACACAAGGAAAGCACACATCTGTATATAAATCACAACTGAGAATATACACAACTCTAGATCACATGTTGAAAAATGGAAATCAATGTGGTGAAGTGCCACATCTGTGTGAGCCCCTCCAAAGATACACAACAGGTCTTATACACAGATCATCTGTGTGAGCCCCTCCACAGATACACAACAGGTCTTATACACAGATCATCTGTGTGAGCCCCTCCACAGATACACAACAGGTCTTATACACAGATCATCTGTGTGAGCCCCTCCACAGATACACAACAGGTCTTATACACAGATCATCTGTGTGAGCCCCTCCACAGATACACAACAGGTCTTATACACAGATCATCTGTGTGAGCCCCTCCACAGATACACAACAGGTCTTATACACAGATCATCTGTGTGAGCCCCTCCACAGATACACAACAGGTCTTATACACAGATCATCTGTGTGAGCCCCTCCACAGATACACAACAGGTCTTATACACAGATCATCTGTGTGAGCCCCTCCACAGATACACAACAGGTCTTATACACAGATCATCTGTGTGAGCCCCTCCACAGATACACAACAGGTCTTATACACAGATCATCTGTGTGAGCCCCTCCACAGATACACAACAGGTCTTATACACAGATCATCTGTGTGAGCCCCTCCACAGATACACAACAGGTCTTATACACAGATCATCTGTGTGAGCCCCTCCACAGATACACAACAGGTCTTATACACAGATCATCTGTGTGAGCCCCTCCACAGATACACAACAGGTCTTATACACAGATCATCTGTGTGAGCCCCTTCACAGATACACAACAGGTCTTATACACAGATTTGTCTTTGTTTAGTTTTTGCTGCATCATTTGGTTCTAGTAAATATTAAAAGACCTTTGTGCATCATCAATTTTTGCAGTTTCGAGAATGTTTAATTTGTTATGATCATGGATTTAATCTAATTCCGTGGTTATGATTTTTAATGTTTACTTGAATTTACTTTCAATGGTATACCTAAATCTGATCAGAGTAGATCCAAATATTTAATACCAGAAAATGGTATTCACCAATTTTTTTCAGATGCACTTTGGTAATTATTTGCACTTTCAATTAATAACAACTTTTCTAAAATCATTATTTCATTAAGAGTTGAAATAGTTTTTTCCTAAATAACATGAACACTTGGTCAGGAGTCTGATTCTTGTGACTGGTCACTGTGCATTAGTCGTAGAGATCGCCGTTTGATGCGTTCATCAGTCTGACGTTTGAAGGCATAGTTAAGTCTGGAGGCACCCCACATCCACAGACTGTCAGGAATACACTGGATGATCCATCCCTGTGATAAGGACAAATGAATAATATTAATGTAGTCCAGCGCCACATCATACAACATTCCAGATGTAAAACAACAATATACAGAATATCAAAGATCTGAGGTAGACTAAAACAGTGAAAGTAGTTTTTGCAGAATATATTACTATATGCCTTTGTATGTACTTAAATTGGTTACCTCAAGTAGGTCATCTCTTTTCTGTGTATGTAACTAGCTATGTACTGTAGATACCTTAGGTCACCTGTCATCTCTATGTACTTACCTTAGGTCACCTCTCCCCGCTATGTACTGTAGATACCTTAGGTCACCTGTCACCGCTATGAACTGTGGTTCCCACAGGTCAACTTTCCCTTCTATGTCCTTTAATTATCTCAGGTCACCTCTCCCCTCTATTTATGTAGTGACTACCTTTGGTGGTCACCTCTCCCCTCTATGTATGTAGTGACTACCTTTGGTCATTTCTCACCTTTATGTATAGTGGCTACTGCAAGTCACCTCTCCTCTCTATACACTATGGTTACCTCAGGTCACCTCTCCCCTCTATGTCCTTCAATTATCTCAGGTCACCTCTCCCCTCTATGTCCTTAATTATCTCAGGTCCCCTCTCCCCTCCATGTATGAAGTGACTACCTTTGGTCATTTCCCCCCTTTATGTATAGTGGCTACTTCAAGTCACCTCTCCTCGCTATACACTATGGTTACCTCAGGTCACCTCTCCCCTCTATGTACATATAGGTATCACCTCTCCCCTCTATGTACATATAGTTATCACAGACCACCTCTCCCTTCTATGTATAAATAGTTATCACAGATCCCCTCTCCCCTCTATTTACATATAGTTATCACAGATCACCTCTCCCCTCTAAGTATATATAGTTATCACAGATCACCTCTCCCCTCTATGTATATATAGTTATCACAGATCCCCTCTCCCCTCTATGTACATATATTTATCATAGATCACCTCTATGTATATATAGTTATCACAGATCCCCTCTCCCCTCTATGTACACTTAGTTATCACAGATCACCTCTATGTATATATATAGTTATCACCGATCACCTCTATGTATATATAGTTATCACAGATTCCCTCTTCCCTCTATGTACATATAGTTATCACTTATCCCCTCCATGTATATATAGTTATCATATATTCCCTCTCCTCTCTATGTACATATAGTTATCACTTCTCCCCTCTATGTATATATAGTTATCACAGATCCCATCTCCCCTCTATGTACACTTAGTTATCACAGATCTCCTCTATGTATATATATAGTTATCACCGATCACCTCTATGTATATATAGTTATCACAGATTCCCTCTTCCCTCTATGTACATATAGTTATCACTTATCCCCTCCATGTATATATAGTTATCATATATTCCCTCTCCTCTCTATGTACATATAGTTATCACTTCTCCCTTCTATGTATATATAGTTATCACAGATCACCTCTCCCCTCTATTTACATATAGTTATCACAACTCCCTACATATAGATATCACAGATCACCTCTCCCCTCTAAGTATATATAGTTATCACAGATCACCTCTCCCCTCTATTTACATATAGTTATCACAGATCACCTCTCCCCTCTATTTACATATAGTTATCACAGATCACCTCTCCCCTCTATTTACATATAGTTATCACAGATCCCCTCTCTCCTCTATGTACATATAGTTATCACAGATCCCCTCTCCCCTCTATGTACATATATTTATCATAGATCACCTCTATGTATATATAGTTATCACAGATCACCTCTATGTACATATAGTTATTACAGATCACCTCTATGTATATATAGTTATCACAGATTCCCTCTCCCCTCTATGTATATATAGTTATTACAGATCCCCTCTCCCCTCTATGTACACTTAGTTATCACAGATCTCCTCTATGTATATATATAGTTATCACCGATCACCTCTATGTATATATAGTTATCACAGATTCCCTCTTCCCTCTATGTACATATAGTTATCACTGATCACCTCTCCCCTCTATGTATATATAGTTATCACAGACCCCCTATCCCCTTTATGTACATATAGTTATCACAGATCCCCTCTCCCCTCTATGTACATAAAGTTATCACAGATCCCCTATCCCCTTTATGTACATATAGTTATCACAGATCCCCTCTCCCCTCTATGTACATATAGTTATAACAGATCCCCTATCCCCTTTATGTACATATAGTTATCACAGATCCCCTCTCCCCTCTATTTACATATAGATATCACAGATCACCTCTCCCCTCTAAGTATATATAGTTATCACAGATCACCTCTCCCCTCTATGTATATATAGTTATCACAGATCCCATCTCCCCTCTATGTACACTTAGTTATCACAGATCACCTCTATGTATATATATAGTTATCACCGATCACCTCTATGTATATATAGTTATCACAGATTCCCTCTTCCCTCTATGTACATATAGTTATCACTGATCACCTCTCCCCTCTATGTATATATAGTTATCACAGACCCCCTATCCCCTTTATGTACATATAGTTATCACAGTGCCCCTATCCCCTCTATTTACGTATAGTTATCACAACTCCCCTCTCCTCTCTATGTACATATAGTTATCACAGATCGCCTCTCCCCTCTATGTACACTTAGTTATCACAGATCACCTCTATGTATATATATAGTTATCACCGATCACCTCTATGTATATATAGTTATCACAGATTCCCTCTCCCCTCTATGTATATATAGTTATCACAGACCCCCTCTCCCCTCTATGTACACTTAGTTATCACAGATCACCTCTATGTATATATATAGTTATCACCGATCACCTCTATGTATATATAGTTATCACAGATTCCCTCTCCCCTCTAGGTATATATAGTTATCACAGATCCCCTCTCCCCTCTATGTACATATATTTATCATAGATCACCTCTATGTATATATAGTTATCACAGATCACCTCTATGTATATATAGTTATCACAGATTCCCTCTTCCCTCTATGCACATATAGTTATCACTTATCCCCTCCCTGTATATATAGTTATCATATATTCCCTCTCCTCTCTATGTACATATATTTATCACTTCTCCCCTCTATGTATATATAGTTATCACAGATCCCATCTCCCCTCTATGTACACTTAGTTATCACAGATCACCTCTATGTATATATATAGTTATCACCGATCACCTCTATGTATATATAGTTATCACAGATTCCCTCTTCCCTCTATGCACATATAGTTATCACTTATCCCCTCCCTGTATATATAGTTATCATATATTCCCTCTCCTCTCTATGTACATATAGTTATCACTTCTCCCCTCGATGTACATATAGTTATCACTTCTCCCCTCGATGTACATATAGTTATCACTTCTCCCCTCGATGTACATATAGTTATCACAGATCCCCTCTATGTATATATAGTTATCACAGATCACCTCTATGTACATATAGTTATTACAGATCACCTCTATGTATATATAGTTATCACAACTCCCCTCTCCCCTCTATGATATATAGTTATCACAGATCCCCTCTCCCCTCTATGTACATATATTTATCATAGATCACCTCTATGTATATATAGTTATCACAGATTCCCTCTTCCCTCTATGTACATATAGTTATCACTTATCCCCTCCATGTATATATAGTTATCATATATTCCCTCTCCTCTCTATGTACATATAGTTATCACTTCTCCCTTCTATGTATATATAGTTATCACAGATCACCTCTATGTACATATAGTTATCACTTCTCCCCTCTATGTATATATAGTTATCACAGATTCCCTCTCCCCTCTAGGTATATATAGTTATCACAGATCCCCTCTCCCCTCTATGTACATATATTTATCATAGATCACCTCTATGTATATATAGTTATCACAGATTCCCTCTTCCCTCTATGTACATATAGTTATCACTTATCCCCTCCATGTATATATAGTTATCATATATTCCCTCTCCTCTCTATGTACATATAGTTATCACTTCTCCCTTCTATGTATATATAGTTATCACAGATCACCTCTATGTACATATAGTTATCACTTCTCCCCTCGATGTACATATAGTTATCACAGATCACCTCTATGTACATATAGTTATCACTTCTCCCCTCTATGTATATATAGTTATCACAGATCGCCTCTCCCCTCTATGTACACTTAGTTATCACAGATCACCTCTAAGTATATATATAGTTATCACAGATCCCCTCTCCCCTCTATGTACATATAGTTATAACAGATCCCCTATCCCCTTTATGTACATATAGTTATCACAGATCCCCTATCCCCTCTATTTACGTATAGTTATCACAACTCCCCTCTCCTCTCTATGTACATATAGTTATCACAGATCCCCTCTCCCCTCTATGAACTTATAGTTATCACAGATCCCCTCTCCCCTCTATGAACTTATAGTTATCACAGATCCCCTCTCCCCTCTATGGACATATAGTTATCACAGATCCCCTCTCCCCTCTATGAACTTATAGTTATCACAGATCCCCTCTCCCCTCTATGTACATATAGTTATCACAGATCACCTCTCCCCTCTATGTATATATAGTTATCACAGATCCCCTCTCCCCTCTATGTATATATAGTTATCACAGATCACCTCTCCCCTCTATGTACATATAGTTATCACCAATCACCTCTATGTACATATAGTTATCACAGATCACCTATACCCTTTATGTACATATAGTTATCACAGATCCCCTCTCCCCTCTCCCCTCTATGTACATATATCAAGAATGACATTTGTTAACTGTCATGGCTACCCCCTGCAACTGTTTCACCTTTAGTTTCCTGATTATCTTATATCACTCCACTACCTAGGTTACCGGGCTACATCTACCCTATATCAGAAGCAAGTATTCTGTAATGACCAGTGCAGTCAAGACCACAATACCTGTAATGTATGAGGCCAGTATCCTGTCGTCCGACTGGTATAGCCTAGGGTGGTGATAGCGTGACGGGCATAATCAGCAGCAGAGGGAATCATGATGCTGGGGCGAGACAGGGTTTCACTGAAGCGTGTCATCCTGGTGGCCACATAGAAGGGCATCAACGACTGGACGATGATCCCCTTGTCTTTGTACTCGTACTGTATGGCTCGGGCAAAGTAATCCAGGAAACTCTACGACAGAGACATGAAACCCTTCAAAATCATGTGTGTTCAAATCTTTATTGTGATCATGTTACTCGTTTGTAACAACATTGTGATCATGTTACTCGTTTGTAACAACATTGTGATCACGTTACTCGTTTGTAACAACATTGTGATCATGTTACTCGTTTGTAACAACATTGTGATCATGTTACTCGTTTGTAACAACATTGTGATCATGTTACTCGTTTGTAACAACATTGTGATCATGTTACTCGTTTGTAACAACATTGTGATCATGTTACTCGTTTGTAACAACATTGTGATCATGTTACTCGTTTGTAACAACATTGTGATCATGTTACTCGTTTGTAACAACATTGTGATCATGTTACTCGTTTGTAACAACATTGTGATCATGTTACTCGTTTGTAACAACATTGTGATCATGTTACTCGTTTGTAACAACATTGTGATCATGTTACTCGTTTGTAACAACATTGTGATCATGTTACTCGTTTGTAACAACATTGTGATCATGTTACTCGTTTGTAACAACATTGTGATCATGTTACTCGTTTGTAACAACATTGTGATCATGTTACTCGTTTGTAACAACATTGTGATCATGTTACTCGTTTGTAACAACATTGTGATCATGTTACTCGTTTGTAACAACATTGTGATCATGTTACTCGTTTGTAACAACATTGTGATCATGTTACTCGTTTGTAACAACATTGTGATCATGTTACTCGTTTGTAACAACATTGTGATCATGTTACTCGTTTGTAACAACATTGTGATCATGTTACTCGTTTGTAACAACATTGTGATCATGTTACTCGTTTGTAACAACATTGTGATCATGTTACTCGTTTGTAACAACATTGTGATCATGTTACTCGTTTGTAACAACATTGTGATCATGTTACTCGTTTGTAACAACATTGTGATCATGTTACTCGTTTGTAACAACATTGTGATCATGTTACTCGTTTGTAACAACATTGTGATCATGTTACTCGTTTGTAACAACATTGTGATCATGTTACTCGTTTGTAACAACATTGTGATCATGTTACTCGTTTGTAACAACATTGTGATCATGTTACTCGTTTGTAACAACATTGTGATCATGTTACTCGTTTGTAACAACATTGTGATCATGTTACTCGTTTGTAACAACATTGTGATCATGTTACTCGTTTGTAACAACATTGTGATCATGTTACTCGTTTGTAACAACATTGTGATCATGTTACTCGTTTGTAACAACATTGTGATCATGTTACTCGTTTGTAACAACATTGTGATCATGTTACTCGTTTGTAACAACATTGTGATCATGTTACTCGTTTGTAACAACATTGTGATCATGTTACTCGTTTGTAACAACATTGTGATCATGTTACTCGTTTGTAACAACATTGTGATCATGTTACTCGTTTGTAACAACATTGTGATCATGTTACTCGTTTGTAACAACATTGTGATCATGTTACTCGTTTGTAACAACATTGTGATCATGTTACTCGTTTGTAACAACATTGTGATCATGTTACTCGTTTGTAACAACATTGTGATCATGTTACTCGTTTGTAACAACATTGTGATCATGTTACTCGTTTGTAACAACATTGTGATCATGTTACTCGTTTGTAACAACATTGTGATCATGTTACTCGTTTGTAACAACATTGTGATCATGTTACTCATTTGTAACAACATTGTGATCATGTTACTCATTTGTAACAACATTGTGATCATGTTACTCGTTTGTTACAATAAATATAAACATAATAGCTACATCAAATATTGCTGACTAAAAATATATGTTTCTTTTAACAAGTTTAAAAATTTCAAGTTTTCAATATATTACTGCAATATTTTATTGATGACTGAATCACGTTGAACCGAGCTTGAATACTTAACCTTTTCAATCTAAGGTATTTGTTGATGACTGAATCACGCTGAACCGAGCTTGAATACTTAACCTTTTCAATCTAAGGTATTTGTTGATGACTGAATCGCGTTGAACTGAGCTTGAATACTTAACCTTTTCAATTTAAGGTATTTGTTCACACTTTTAAAAATGGACCTTGTCTTAGTTACCTTGGTTGCAGAATACACAGTTGTCAGTGGCGTGATTTTATCACAGGAGCCTGCTGATACCATTACCACAGCACCTTTACATCTGAAAGAATATATACATGTACTGTTAGTTACAGAACATCTGCAATCATCTTGACATTGATGTCTTTGCTGTAATACTTCTTGGTCGAAATGTGCTGACTTCAATTTCAGGACTTCTTTTACAAAAGATAAAGTGTTACTGATCAGCATGCTTGCAGAAATACTGAAAACAACCCAAAAATGTAACGTTTCTATTGCTGTCTGTGTACTTACATATATACCAGAATAATGGTTGGTGGTACCTAATACTCACTTTGACTCTTTGTTTTTAAATTTCACAACAGAAAATTTACCTTTGAACCATCTGTGGTAAAATCATATGGGTCATCTGTAACAAAATGTTGATAAAAGGTTAGTTAAGTTAAACTGTTGACAATATATAGTATTTTTAACTGTTAGATCCTGTTACAGACACTATTATTATGTTTTGACTTCCAGACTCCCCAGCTAACACTAGTGGACCTGCATGATTGATTGAGGTGATGTATGTGATGGCCCTAGAAGAACCCAGGATTTTCTTTCCTGTCCACTGCTAAATTAATTTACAGAAATCGAAATGGACCAGCTGAATTCATTCCAATAATTGGGATATAATTGTTATTGCATTTGCTCCTGTTTTTTTTTTAATTCAGTGCCTTTCTTAGCAAAACCAACAATCTCTTTATCAACTCTATACCATGTGGATTTGTGTGACCTTCTTGTGTTGAAGGGTCGGTAAGACTTATTAATAAATAACTAGACTTTATCTGCTGTATCTACAGATCATCCTAAGCTTTTTGAGGCATCCAAGTGTACTCACCATAGTTGCTGTGGCTACATTCACATTAATCAACTGCCATAACATCTGAAATATTGAAGTAATAGCTAATAATTTACGGTCTATATGGTACAAGGATTCTATTTTAAATACAAATTTCATTTTCTCACTTTCCATATAATCATAAATAGAAATATTTTCCAAAATCGAACAGCAAACAATGGACCAGAGGAGTACCTGTTTTTATTATGTGATGTTACCCTTTTTTAAGATACATTTTGCGAATGCAGGGGAAAAAAACAAGAAATTTATTCTTGGACATTTTTTTGTATCAAAAATGAACTAAGGGCCATAACTCTATTTATTTGTAGGGAAGAAGAATCAAAATCAGTATGTGAGACTCCAAATTCCCTAGATACATTGGCATAATAAATATAAAACAAGAGACCCTGAGGGCATGTATCGCTCACCTGAATGTTTAATTAAGCAGTCATAGCAAAATATTCTCATTAAATATTAAACTGTACTACAGATATTTCATTCGCAAACTTTGTTGACTCCATCTGTTGAAACTACCAGTCAAATATTATTATATGATTCTATGCTTTTTTATTCTTCTTCTGAAGATGTTTTACATATTTTCCCCTGTGACCTTGTTAGAAGGACAAGGTCATTTTCGTTCTCAAACTTTGTCGACTCTATCCCAAGATGCTACCAGCCAAATCTTATGAATCCATTCCATTCAGTTTTACAGAACAAATCGTTTAAAATGTTGTTGACCTCTGTGACCTTGAAAGTAGGTTGAGGTTCTTTTCATTAGCAAACTTTAGAGAGAAGTCACGAGCCAAATATTATGATTCTATGCCTTTCGATTATTCTTCAGAAGTCGTTTGATGTTTTTGACATATTTGACTGCTGTGACCCTGAAAGTATGTCAAGGTCATTTTCATTCCGAACTTTGTCATGCTCAATCTTAAGAAGTTACCAGCCAAATATTAAGAAGTTAGATACATAAGCCACTTACTTGGTAAGTGATCTATAAACTAATCTTCTTAACCATAATGCAGATGTGGCCTGACTTTTACCGTTGCAATCTGGCCAAAAATACTAACTTACACTCGGGGCTATCCTCATATTCTGGTTCTTATTATATTACAGGGACCATTGATATGGCGCTTGACACGTTTTAAGAAAACTTCCTTTACCTCTGTTGGAACCTCTAGAAATGGCTGTGGGTAATCATACATCACTCCAACATTATTAACTGTCAACAAAAAAACAAACACATTTAAGATCTGCTTTATATGTCTCTATAGCCATTAAATATGTATCAGCTATACCGGTTGTATACATTAAACTACATGTTTCAAGCTTAACCTGTAAGCATAATGTCTAAAGAGGCTCAGGGAGCTTATAGTCAGGATTAAGTACAGGTAATTTTGCATATGAAAATACTGTTTTAAGTTCTACAAACCAATTACACAGTACATGAAATCAAAAATACTGTTAAAAGTACTACAAACCACTTACACAGTACATGAAATAAATAGACGTTGTTAATTACAGACACCAAAGAAACCCTATCATAGTGATGTGATAAATACACTACAGGCTGTATATTTTTTGTGAAATTTGATAGTTTTTTTTTGACAAACCTGCTCTATCTGCTACTCCAATGAAATCACAACACCATTGATTGAGGTGTACATATATATTATATTTACATTTGCATGGGATTGTCACTATATAGCCTCTTTGAAAGCTGTGTCGTTGATGGGACTTTAATTACCATGCATCACTAGACACAATTCTTAGCGTATTAATACAACACTGACCGAAACTACAATATCCAATATAAATAAACATGACGGCTGCTGAAATATCGCTGGGCATTGTGAAATTTGACAATGTCATTGTAAATTTATGTACAAAATAAAAAATAAAATAAAAAACACTTTTATTATAACGAAAACAAGACCAAGGTCTGCAATATCGTACAAAATGCACATCGGTTGAAATCACCAATGCCAGCAATGGGAACGATTTTAATGCTCATGCAATTTATCAGAAATATTGTCTGTTACACTGCACTGATCAACAGGGGTTCGTTACAAATGTCTGAAATACACATATTCTATAGACCTACTGACACATATGTTACAGACCTACTGATATGAGTCACAGCACACATAAACATTTCAGACATTTGTAACGAACCTGTGCTCCGTCGCAAGATCACTCACTTCAAACGCTATCAGTTTCACGCGTCTCGCATCCACGGTTCCTCAGTTTCTGACGACATGTCAAATAACGAGGCTGTTATAGAATCTACCGACTGTTGTCAGGTTCCCATACAATCAACAAATAAATTCACGCCTGGATTCTTCACAAAATGAGCAAAGAGAAAAGTTTGAATTAAATTCCAAAAATAACTCCCTCGTGGAGGGCAAGGTCGGATTTACAGTGTTCACTGTATTTGTCCATGCGCGAAATTTGTTCCGTGGAAAAATCGAAACAATTTCAAATCTAACTTTCAGCTAAGAGTTCTATTAATAAACTTAAATCATCCTATAGACATATCATACGCAATTGTATTGATACTGAATTGCGGGATAAAATTGAAGTGTTTGTTCAAATTTCAAGGTACTACTTTGTTTGCCAATCAGCACGCGACAATACGCTGTTCAAACTATTGAACGAAATTGTGTGGACTGTCGATAAGGCGGGCATATTTAATTTTACATATAAATTATAAGTTAAAAAAGAACATAAGAGGCAGAGAAAACGTAAATATAAGTATTGAACTGTTTTTGTATGGTATTTATGATCTATTTGAATGACACAGCTTTGCAAGCAAACAACTCATAATGCGAGCTAGCGCATTATGATTTGGTTGCTTTCAAAGCTGTGTCATTATATTCAAATAGATCATAAATACCATACAAAAACAGTTCATTGCTTAAATATACCTAGTATTCCAATTTCTTTGTCTTTGATTGCTTCCCATATTTCCTGGTAAATTTCCTGTCCTTCATTAAAGTTGATTCCCAAAGCACAGGTTTGTACTCCATATTTTTCCTCTGAAAACACAAAAAGGAATTAAGTGTGAAACAGAAACAGTTCTGTAAAGTGACACACTACAGTGTGTGTAGATATCAGTGTACAGGGGTGTCCCACATAAAACGCATTATTTATTTTGCATATGTAGAAGTGTGGAGAGAAGAATTAAATCTCACATGCTTCACAGGTGCATTACTATTGTTGTTAGGGAATCAGTATACAATACATATTATACACAAATCATGGACAATGAACAGAGAATCATATTCCATTATAATACCCTTAATTTGTTTGCCTCATAAATGAATTTTCCTAGTATACACAATTCTTTAATATTATGGACATTCAATAACTGAACGGCTTTAAACACAGATGTTTTTTTCCAATAATAGCTTTTGATAAAACGTGATCTGAGATTTTGGAACATATACAGGTTTAATGTGAACACATCACCACTCCTGTCTCTACAACAGCACCAGATCATAGCTTTGTATAGCTAAGGTTGCGTCATCTATTTTGTCACACTATACCCCTAGTGGATGATGGAACAACACATTGGGACCATCATTACAGCCTGGATTTTTTTTTTTTTTTTTTTTTTTTACAAAAGTACTAAATTGTGGGGGAAATATAACCACTGGATGTGACAGGGTGCGACTATGTGGAATTAATAGACACCTGTGATGTAGACAGAAAAGGTCCCTGAGACGAGCCTCACGCTGCATCTAAAAAATCTTGTATACACCAGGGCCCATATTCATGAAACCGTTCTCATGCTCAAGCTTGGATTCTGTGCTCAAACCTACACTCTTGTAACTCGCTTAAATAGTCTCAATTGATCAAACAGTCAAATGTAATCATTGAAAACAGTTTTCAGCTTTAAGTCTCTTCAATGTTTTTCCAATCATTGAAAAAGTAAGATTTGTTTATGAATTTATAAATAGAACAAGAAATTCGGGTTGGGCACAAATTCCATACTTGAGCAAGAGAACGGTTTAATGAATACGGGCCCTGGTAGAAATGATAGATCCTATTATTTTAATCCCACATATATGCACCCTGTGACATCCCAGTTCACTGCAAGTTCTGAGAAGGAACTTCTGACAAAGAATTAAACAAATATTAAATTATATTCAGTAACTTACTCAATACTGGCTGTTGTTCTGAAGTGTGATGTCATTTCTTTGTATTAATTATTGAATTGTCAATTTGATCAGCTGAGTATAGGATATTTACAATTTCGAAACAAACTTGATTTGAATCTTTTTGATACTACAAATGAATTTTAAATATTTCTTAACATACCTTTGGTATACAGAAAATTTCAGTTAGGTTCAGGTTCTTTCTTAAGCCACCTGCATGAAAAAACCTACTACATTTTTTACAACCTAGCTAGGACTATTAATAGAATACTTGGAAGTATAATATGAAATGGCAGCCGAACACACACTAAACAGAGAATTAGACAACTACCTATGTCTTTGGCTGTCCTGTATAAGCGATTCTCTTTTTTGCTGATCAGGATGATGTTGAGGCCACGGCCGGCTAACTCTCGTGCATAGGCTCGTCCAATTCCTTCACTGCTTCCTGTAACCACTAGAAACAAAATGAAGGGAGACTACTCATTAGCATGAGGCCACACTTGGCTCATCCAAATTCCAATCGGATCAAGCTCTGCCAGTAGAAAACAAGTTTTGACTACTAATTTTGATCATACTGCTGTGCATACTAGGAAATAAAGAGTTAATTGTTTAATGCTACCAGTGGTAAGATTTGCCTTCGAAATGACATTTAGAACGGAGTTGGGTATTACTGAACCGGAGGCAGTTACTGAACATAATTTTTAAATCACATTTATTCTTATATTGTTGGTGTGTTATGTGCATGTCAACTCATCAGCATTTTGCATATATACAGGAAGTGAGCGCTAAGCCAGTGAGTGTCCATACCAGAGATGGTGTCAAAGCCATCAAATGCTCGCCTGTTTAAAATTTTATCGTATATAAATAGTTGTTTGTAAAAATCTAAAGTTCAAAACAGGTCAAAAGTGTAAAACAATTGAAATTATGTTTTAATTTTTCCGTCACTTCATCAATATTTTACTGCACAAATATCAGCATCCTAGTACACATATCTAATGAATGACAAACGTCTAAATAACTTGGAGTTAAAACTTTAACTTTGATGTGCTTCAAAAAAGTTAAGTACAAAACAGGTGGAAAATTTCAAAAACTTCAAATTATTTATAAATTTTAATTTCACTTCATCAATATCATACAGGAACCTCAATGCCAAATATCAGCATTAATTATAGTACACATATTTAATGACCGACAAGCGTCTAAATAACTAGTAGGTAAAACTTTAATGTTGATGTAAAAAAAGGAAAGTACAAAACAGGTAAAAAAAAAATGAGTGTGCAATTATTTGTTAATTTTTACTTCACTACACCAAAAGTATACCCCACAGGAACCTCCATGCCAAATATCAGCATCCTGGTACACATATTTAATGAACTAAATAACTTGCAGGTAAAACTTTAACATTTTCACGCTGATGCTGACGCTGGGGGTAACGCTATAGCTCTCTGTTCTTCTAACAGGCGAGCTTATAAAAGGAAACCTCACAACTTATGACAATGAATGTGCATTTATGAAACAAGAAAACGCAAAGAGATAATAATTTGCCAGTTGATAATATTTACAATAAGCATGACATTTATTTACCATTGATGACATTTAAGAGATGTTCGGCAGTTATTGAATACATCACTCACTGTTGACCTATTTTGTAATAATAAAACTTGGTAAAAAAAGACTTGAGTCAAGTTCGCTGCCTTTAAATTACTACAACCAGACTTGCTGAAGCATCGCGCATCATCATAGCGAAACCAGGGGTGTGTCTTTACAGTCTAAACAATTTTGGTCATACCAACAATACCAGTTTTTAACACATTTATGATGGATTATCTTTTATTATTAAATTAAGGGACTAAAGATTATTATAAACATCAATTAAACTACACTTGGGAATAGGGGGTACACGATCACCGTTGGTACAGCCCTGGGAGTATCTGAAATGTTCGTTTAAGATATGGGAATAGGGGGTACACGACCACCGTTGGTACAGCCCTGGGAGTATCTGGTACAGCACTGGGAGTATCTGAAATGTTCATTTAAGGTATGTGAATAGGGGGTACACGACCACCGTTGGTAGAGCCCTTGGAGAATCTGAAATGTTCATTTAAGATATGGGAATAGGGGGGACACGACCATTGTTGGTACAGCCCTGGGAGTATCTGGTACAGCACTGGGAGTATCTGAAATGTTCATTTGAGGTATGGGAATAGGGGGTACACGACCGATGGATTATCTTTTATTATTAAATTAAGGGACTAAAGATTATTATAAACATCAATTAAACTACACTTGGGAATAGGGGGTACACGACCACCGTTGGTACAGCCCTGTGAGTATCTGAAATTTTCATTGAAGGAATGGGAATAGGGGGTACACGACCGATGGATTATCTTTTATTATTAAATTATATTAAGGGATTAAAGATTATCATAAACATCCATTAAACTACACTTGGGAATAGGGGGTACACGATCACCGTTGGTGCAGCCCTGGGAGTATCTGAAATGTTCGTTTAAGATATGGGAATAGGGGGTACACGACCGATGGATTATCTTTTATTATTAAATTATATTAAGGGATTAAAGATTATCATAAACATCCATTAAACTACACTTGGGAATAGGGGGTACACGACCACCATTGGTACAGCCCTGGGAGTATCTAAAATGTTCATTAAAGGTATGGGAATAGGGATTACACGACCACCGTTGGTACAGCCCTGTGAGTATCTGAAATGTTCATTGAAGGAATGGGAATAGGGGGTACACGACATCGTTGGTACAGACCTTGATGTATCTGGTACAGCCCTGAGAGTATCTGAAATGTTCATTTAAGGTATGGGAAAAGGGGGTACACCACCACCGTTGGTACAGCCCTGGGAGTATATGAAATGTTCATTTAAGGAATGGGAATAGGGGGTACACGACCGATGGATTATCTTTTATTATTAAATTATATTAAGGGATTAAAGATTATCATAAACATCCATTAAACTACACTTGGGAATAGGGGGTACACGACCACCGTTGGTACAGCCCTGTGAGTATCTGAAATGTTCATTGAAGGAATGGGAATAGGGGGTACACGACCACCGTTGGTACAGCCCTGTGAGTATCTGAAATTTTCATTGAAGGAATGGGAATAGGGGGTCCACGACATCGTTGGTACAGCCCTTGATGTATCTGGTACAGCCCTGAGAGTATCTGAAATGTTCATTTAAGGAATGGGAATAGGGGGTACACGACATCGGTGGTACAGCCCTTGATGTATCTGGTACAGCCCTGAGAGTATCTGAAATGTTCATTTAAGTTATGGGAATAGGGGGTACACGACCGATGGATTATCTTTTATTATTAAATTAAGGGACTAAAGATTATTATAAACATCAATTAAACTACACTTGGGAATAGGGGGTACACGACCACCGTTGGTACAGCCCTGTGAGTATCTGAAATGTTCATTGAAGGAATGGGAATAGGGGGTACACGACATCGTTGGTACAGCCCTTGATGTATCTGGTACAGCCCTGAGAGTATCTGAAATGTTCATTTAAGGTATGGGAATAGGGGGTACACGACCACCGTTGGTACAGCCCTGGGAGTATCTGAAATGTTCATTTAAGGTATGGGAAGAGGGGGTACACGACCACCGTTGGTACAGACCTGGGAGTATCTGAAATGTTCATTTAAGGTATGTGAATAGGGGGTACACGACCACCGTTGGTACAGCCCTGGGAGTATCTGGTACAGCCCTGGGAGTATCTGAAATGTTCATTTAAGGTATGGAATAGGGGGTACACCACCACCGTTGGTATAGCCCTGGGAGTATCTGAAATGTTCATTTAAGGTATGGGAATAGGGGGTACACGACCACCGTTGGTACAGCCCTGGGAGTATCTAAAATGTTCATTAAAGGTATGGGAATAGGGATTACACGACCACCGTTGGTACAGCCCTGGGAGTATCTGAAATGTTCATTTAAGATACGGGAATAGGGGGTACACCACCACCGTTGGTACAGCCCTGGGAGTATCTGAAATGTTCATTTAAGGTATGGGAATAGGGGGTACACGACCACCGTTGGTACAGCCCTTGGAGTATCTGAAATGTTCATTTAAGGAATGGGAATAGGGGGTACACGACCACCGTTGGTATAGCCCTTGGAGTATCTGATATGTTCATTTAAGGTATGGGAATAGGGGGTACATGACCACCGTTGGTACAGATCTGGGAGTATCTGAAATGTTCATTTAAGGTATGTGAATAGGGGGTACACGACCACCATTGGTACAGCCTTGGGAGTATCTGAAATGTTCATTTAAGTTATGGGAATAGGGGGAACACGACCACCGTTGGTACAGCCCTGTGAGTATCTAAAATGTTCATTTAAGGTATGGGAATTGAGTAGGGGCTACAAGACAACCATTGGTACACACCCTTGGAGTATCTGAAATGTTCATTTAAGGTATGGGAATAGGGGGTACACGACCACCATTGGTACAGCCTTGGGAGTATCTGAAATGTTCATTTAAGTTATGGGAATAGGGGGAACACGACCACCGTTGGTACAGCCCTGTGAGTATCTAAAATGTTCATTTAAGGTATGGGAATGGGGGTACACGACCACCGTTGGTACAGCCCTTGGAGTATCTGAAATGTTCATTTAAGGTATGTGAATAGGGGGTACACGACCACCGTTGGTACAGCCCTGGGAGTATCTAAAATGTTCATTAAAGGCATGGGAATAGGGATTACACGACCACCGTTGGTACAGCCCTTGGAGTATCTGATATGTTCATTTAAGGTATGGGAATAGGGGGTACATGACCACCGTTGGTACAGCCCTGTGAGTATCTGAAATGTTCATTTAAGGTATGGGAATAGGGGGTACACGCCCACCGTTGGTACAGCCCTTGGAGTATCTGATATGTTCATTTAAGGTATGGGAATAGGGGGTACACCCCCACCGTTGGTACAGCCCTGGGAGTATCTGAAATGTTCTTTTAAGGTATGGGAATAGGGGGTACACCACCACCGTAGGTACAGCCCTGGGAGTATCTGAAATGTTCATTAAAGGTATGGGAATAGGGGGTACACGACCACCGTTGGTATAGCCCTTGGAGTATCTGATATGTTCATTTAAGGTATGGGAATAGGGGGTACACCCCCACCGTTGGTACAGCCCTGGGAGTATCTGAAATGTTCTTTTAAGGTATGGGAATAGGGGGTACACCACCACCGTTGGTACAGACCTGGGAGTATCTGAAATGTTCATTTAAGGTATGTGAATAGGGGGTACACGACCACCGTTGGTACAGCCCTTGGAGTATCTGAAATGTTCATTTAAGGTATGTGAATAGGGGGTACACGACCACCGTTGGTACAGCCCTGTGAGTATCTGAAATGTTCATTTAAGGTATGGGAATAGGGGGTACATGACCACCGTTGGTACAGCCCT